ATCTACCATACCCTATGCTCATTCAGCGCATCATGGAGCTTAAGGGTGTGCCCATGGATGGTGAAGCAAAAAAGAAGCTCAGGCCCGCTCACAACTGCTTTGGAGAAAAGCTGCTGATCAAGACGAACTTCGTTTACTTGCATGGTCAGTGGCAATGGGATGATGAGGCCACATATGGAGATGCCTCAGCTGTTGACATGGAGGAAGATTTGCACACTCCGCAGGCTGCTAATAGGCCAGTAGATCCACCTTCTACTGCTGCGACTCGCCTTCCTCCTCTGCCTCCTCCACACACCACGACTCGTGGCTATACTTCTCACGACATCATGCTTTACCTTCAGCAGCAAGAAGCTGCTCATATTGCATTCTGTGAGGACTGGTACCACTTCCGTGAGGATGTCTCTTCTCGTCTCACTCGCATCGAGACCTCCATTTGCCTTCACTCTCCTATCAGTGATGCTGGCGGCTCTCATGTTGCTCCTGCTGAGGGAGATGAGGATGATGAGGCCACTACTTCAGTTACGAACACTTCCAGTGATGACGACGACTCTTAGTATAGGATTACTTATTGTCATTTTGTTTCGCAGCTAGACTATGCCTTTTTGGACGCTTGTACTCCTTTTTGATTGATATTTTGTTTGAGTACTACGCGTATCTACTTGATGTATGTAACCATTTTTCGCTTAATGATATGCATCGCATTTTCTTTGCAATTTCCTTAAACTATCTTCTTACTTGCATACTCCTTTCACTATTGGATTACTTCTTTTTGATATTGCCAAAGGGGGAGAAACATCTACTAAATTGCGAAACATTCAATCACTCAAGTTGCAAGGTAAATAGGGGAGATATTAAAAATTGAAAATAACCTATGACATGAACTAAGGGGGAGTACTATATTTCAATTGAATGAATTTATGCAACACTAACTCTCTTTCTCAATTTAAAGTTTGTCATCATCAAAAAGGGGGAGATTGATGAATCAAAGTGATGATGTGGATACAACATATACTTGATGATTCCACGACAACATGGTTTTGATGATAACAAAGAGGAATGATTCAAAGACGAAGCAATATCCAAAAAGCAAATGTGAAAGTATGCACCAAGTCTCAAGCATCAATCCAAGTCCAGAATCTCAAATGGTATATTCATTTAGGACTTAGGATAAATATGTAAAGATGTATAGAAACAAAGCATTGCATGAGCTCAAGGTCATTCATCAATCATATATTTCAAAAGCATGCATCCTTAAAAAGAAAATTCAAGACAAATGGTTTCATATGTACATTTTTGGTTTGGAAGAAGTACCTATGCGATACAAACTTTTCTAGATAATTTCCATAACCAATAACATGCATTACACGTCATAAAAACCATTTGGAAAGAGTAGAAACTCAGAACTTGTACAAAAAGGCTGCTGCTATGAAATATCCGGATATTCCACTTTGAATATCCGGATATCAGATATCCGGATATGTAACAAAGAATATCCGGATATACGATATACAATATCCGAATATGAGCCCGACGAATATCCGGATATGTACGGATTACAACGACTATAAACGACTAGAAACGGCTAGTTTTCATAGGAGGTGTCATTATAAATACCCACATCAGTTGGGATGAACAGTACACGACCCTATAGCATTTATTGAAGCTTTATTACTCTTGCTAGCCTTTTATTACTCATTAATTACTCATTTTGATCATTGCATACACTTGAGCTCATCTTTCCTTTAAAGCTATACATCTCTTAGTTCTTCAATTTGTTCAATCTGTACTTTGAGAGTACTTAGCCACTTCTAATCACCTCAATCTTACTTCTTGATTTGAGAGGGGAGTGAACCCTATATTTGAGAGGCTACCAAATTCCTAAGAAAATTTGGAGTGAAAAAGTATACGGCATCAAGAGCCCGAAGTCTTGAAAAGTTGTAGTGGTTTGTCAAGCACCCTCAAGCTTGATAGTGAGTGAAAAGAATTGATCGAGCGGCTTCAGTCTGGACGTAGGTCACGGTGGTGGTGACCGAACCAGGATACATCTAGTTTGCAATTTCTCTAACCTTAATCTCTTTATTTAAGTATTAAAATTGCATCTTAGATTGTCTTTATATATACGATTGCTTACTTTGTTGTTCACTACACTTGCTTTTACAATTAGACATTTCCTAATTAAATCACTTTATTGAAAAAATAGTCCTTAAAACATCAAAGGAGGTACTTTGCGAAAAGATTTTGTAAAACTCAATTCACCCCCCCTCTTGAGTATTGAAGCCACCTGTCCAACAACAAGAACTTTGATGAATAATTCCATGCTGGTTTAGGAAATCTCCAAGAACAGAATTAAAATATTGAGTACCATTGTCTGTTCGCAGAATTTTGATAGAGGTCTGGAATTGAGTTTGAATCATACCATGAAAGTTTTTAAAGGTGGATGCCGCATCAGACTTATCTTTCAAGAGGTATACCCAACATACCGTAGAATGATCATCAATGAAAGTAATAAACCAACGAGCACCCGAGACATTCTTTCACGAGCAGGTCCCCAAATATCACTATGAATCAATGTAAAGGGAGAAGATTCATGATATTTTTTAGGAGAATAAGTGGCACGAGAATACTTTGCAAGCTGACAAATATCACAAAGAAGGGAACTTGGCTTTTTATTGATGAACAAGTTCGGGAATAACTTCTGAAGATAGACAAAATTTTGGTGTCCTAACTTACGATGCCATAACAAAACATCATTACAGCTATCTAATAAACATAGAGAGTGGTTCGAAAAAATCCTCCTTTCACAAGGATCCTCTTTAAAATAATAGAGCCCTTCTTCCTCTCTAGCACTGTCAATCATTGTCCCCGAGTCCTGTTCCTGAAAGGTACAAGCATTTGCAGAGAACTTAGCAACACAATGCAACTCAGCAGTAAGTTTGCTAATTGAGATGAGGTTACAGGTAAGAGAGGGAACATGAAGGACTGAATTCAAAATAATATGCTCAGAAAGTTTAATGGATCCCTTCCCCGCAATAGTGGAGAAATTCCGATCAGCTGTTCTTATTCGTGACAGGTGATAGTAAGGGGTATAGGAGAAAAATAAGGTTGCATTACCTGTGATGTGATCAGAGGCCCCTGAATCAAGAATCCAACGATTACTACGTTCAACATGGAATGCCATACCTTTTTGAGCAACATGACTAGTTGCCTCGGCAGGTTGAGATATCAGTTTCTGAAATTGCTTATACTGGGCCTTAGAGAAGAAAACACCATCAAGGTTTGAAGGGACATGAGACACCTCCCCTTTATCTTCGGAAGATACTTGATTAGCACGATTCTTGTTTTGTCTTTTTGGTTTCCAGTTTGGTGGTTTTCCATGAATTTTCCAACATTTTTCACAAGTGTGACCACCCTTATTGCAATGAGAACACCAACGGTCAGATTGTTTTAAGTCCACAGAAGGACGAACAATATTCTTTTCTATAAGAGCAGACCCATCAAAGGACTTAGAGTCCATATCACCCAACATTACTTTTCGGCGAAGCTCCTCCCTTCGTACTTCAGAAAAAGCAGTAGCAAGTGAAGGTAATGGGTTTTGCCCCAATATTCTTCCACGAACATCATCCAGATCAGAATTAAGACCAGCAAGAAAATTATAGAGACGCCTTTTCTCTATATAATTTTTGAACCTTGCGTTAGCTTCTAAACCTTGAAGGTCTGCTTTATCATAAAGATCCAACTCTTGCCACAGTGTTTTTAGAGCAAGGAAGTATTTAGTAACAGTCATCCCTCCTTGCCGTAATTCTTTCACCTTGGTGTTGAGATCAAAAGCCTGAGATGCATTGCCCAGGTCAGAGTAATATTCTTTAACAGCTTCCCAAATTTCTTGAGCTGTATCAAGAAATAAATAAGTTTGACTGATATCTGGTTCCATAGAATTAGTCAGCCATATCATGACTAAAGCATTTTCAGTCACCCAAGCATCATAACCAGGTTCACGTTCTGTTGGTTTTACTTTTTTTCCGTCAAGATACCCCATCTTCCCTTTAGCCTGGATAAACAACTTAACAGATTGACACCATTGCACATAGTTCCAACCGTTTAAACGGTGATTGGTGATCTGCATTGCTGGGTTGTCTCCAGAAGACGAAGAGTTGGGAAGGGGTGAGGTTCCAGACGAAATTTCAGAATTTTCAGCATCCATGGCTTTCTAACAGGTACCCAGAAAAAAAGTTCCTCAAAATATGATTTTGACCCTCAAAACAGGAAGATGGTTGCTCGCCAAAGTCAATGAATGAGAGCAATCTTGGCCACAGTGAAACAGTAATTGCTATAGTAATGAACAGTACTGCTACAGTAATGAACAGTACTGCTACAGTAATGAACAGTACTGCTACAGTAATGAATAGTACTGCTACGGGTCTTCTGTTGGTTGGCTCAGAATTTTTTTCTGAACCTAATGGTGGCCTTGGTTTCGTGGTTGGAGGTGTCTAGGTAAGGATTCTGGCTTGGGCAGTGGCTAAAACGAAAAAAAGGAATAGGAAAATGACTTAAAAATAAATCAGAACGGGGAAGAGACTGGAATATAACCAGCTCTTGATACCATGGAGAAAAGAAGAAGTGGAAGAAGTGTTGTCTGAATAATACTTTCTTGATTCATTGAGAGACCCAATGGGTTCTTTTTATATTTAGTACATCCAACTACCTTAACTACTTTAATAAATATACAACCACCAACTACATCAATAAATATACAACTACCAACTAAATATACAACTACTAACTACATCAATAAATACTATCTAGAATATTCTACATATTCTACAATAACCAAATAATAATCATAATTATCTGAATGAGATATTTTTGTGTGATTTGATTGACATAGGAACATTCATACAGTATTGAGTCATATTTTCATCATATCTTAAAGAGAAACCCTGACCGGGTTTGTCATGATTTGGCCAAGACTCTTAAGTAACATACAGAAACATAGTACTTACTATGAGTAGGCAAAATTGAACATTGTCTGTTTAACGAAGCCTCCTGTAGAAATCTTTTGTGTCAAACCTGTATATCAAGATGAAGATTGAGATTTTTTATACTTTATTTTTTGGAGAGGAGAAGCTGTTCAGATAAATGGAAAAAAAGAAAAAGAAAAGGAATTTAAGAAAAAGACCACTGCAATGCAATCAATGACCAAGAAATAATTTAGAAAATAATTTTGTCTGTCCTGAAATCATAATTTGATGATCAGCAACATACGATGTTAGAAAGATCACTAAACTGTCAACAAGGACAAAAAGCTTACCTGAGTACACTCTATCAAGCACACGGGGAACAACACAGAAAATAGTTGGTTTTAGTTCCCCAATGTCTTCCAGTAACAATTTGATATCCTGCAGCCATTGCATAAAAGGTGTTCATATTATTATTATAAAAAACAAAAATTTGACTTTTCTAGGGATAAAATCAAATCCAAAGTTCAATAATCATATCAAGCTTTCATTCCGTAATGAATGAGATTTAGCATATACACTCACACCACGCCAGAAACCTATGGCGGCACCATGCCATATCATTGCCTCCTCAATGACCCTATCAAAGATGTGTGCAAGAGGAAGGTATGATATGTATACATCTTTCTCATGCAACTGCAAGCAGGAAAAAGAAGGGAAATTAGGAAAGTAAAAGAATAAAAGATAGCATACATAGCTAAACATTCATTATCATAAAACTAAAAAATAACATGCTTAACTTAAATGGAAAGAAATTACATTTTAGGAGTCCTCTGTAAATTCATTTACTTGAAAATAAGATCGAGGGATCATAAAAGAAAACTACTTACCCTTTCATTGCAACTCTCCAGCACATGCTTAATTCCGGCTAAGAGTGTAATAATGTTCTCATTGGATATCATCACTCCCTTGGGGTCACCAGTAGTTCCACTCGTATACATTATTGTACAGATGTCACTTTCCTTTTGTTCGGGAAGATCAAAACTCTTATTTTGACCCTGCGACAGATATTAAAAACTCGAATGAGGAATTGAACCACAAAATATCCATAAAACAATAGAAACACATTACTTCCCTCTGGTTTTTTTCTGAGGTGAGCGTTAGAAACATAAATTTCAATGTAAACTGAAGTTGCCATTTACAAGAAAACATCCTTAGTTTGTCATTCCCACTGCACAAAAACTACGTTCACTAATATTTTACCATACATGCCACTAGTACACCACCTACAGGTTGAAAGAGGTAGTACTAGTAATACAACAACAACAAAATTTTATAGACTAATCACAGATACTTCCAAGTAACTACAGAAGGAGCATCTCTCATGTCAAATTTTACAATAGTAGGGGGAAAAAAAAAGTAATAATGCGTCAAATGAATAACCCACCATTTGTAAAAATTCATCCCATGAATATATTGCCAACCCAAACTTTTCAACTTCTTGCTTTTGTTCCGGAGTAACATTTCCAAAGCTCACAAGTGCTACACAAGTAAATAAATAAAGGTAATTGCTTTCTTTGCAAATACAGACATATTTTAGGAAAAGGAACGGAGAGAATCAATGAAACTTACTCTTGAGATACTTTGATGCATTTGGAAATGTTTTCAATAGCTGAAAAGTTTCAACAACAAATATATGGATAAGACTGACAGTTTACAAAAAATTGTGCAGCACACTTTCTAATGCTTCGTAGCAGTAATACAGTGAGTGCTATCATAGATAAATTCAATAGGTGAACCTCAGGTATCTTCTTTTCTTCTGCAAAGGCAAGTGTGACCTCTGAATGGCATATAATAAATTCCACTGCCCCAGCACCTAAGTCATATATATGAGAGTCAAAACCCATTATAACAAACATTTGAAAAATCAATATTGAAATATTAGGATAGCAAATATTCTTGGTTAAGAGCTAAAAAGAACCTAAGAAACTTCAGTTGTAACGTGTAACGGATTATGAAGAGTTATGTTAGATATGTTAAACCATTTATGTGTTTCTACCTAATAGTTTAAGCTTGAGTATGATTGGCACTGACAATAGTGAATCTAGTGTACTAAATGGAAAACCAATTACAGTTGTTGTTAAGTCAATCCATCAGCAAGGTGTAGGCTAAAAAAGGTATGGACATACCTAAGGTGTCATATAAAGGAACACAGTAAAGTCCATGCGCATTGCAGGCCTGCAGTTATGTTGTAACATGTCAGAAAATATTTAGAGGATAGAAGCAAGTTTAACAACAATAAAAATGGCCATCACTAGGTGGTGGTCAAGGATGCCTACCACATAATATAGAGCACCAAATAACAGAAACTAAACTTTGTGTAGAAAGCAGATATTAGATAGATGAAACAAATTTTCAATCTAAAAATGCCTTGTTCTCCTTCATGTTCAAAAAGGATCATAAACAGAGTAGAACAATCAATCACATTAACAATACAGTAAAAATAGAAACAATAATAAATACACAACACAAAGACACAGGCAAAGATCAACATATAAATACAACATAAAAGAAAAGAAATGTACCTCCATGCTTATAATCCACTCTGAGCAATTGCCACCATAAATACCACATTTTACTCCCTGTTAAGTGTTAACCGGCAATATATAAAGTAAGCATATGTTACCAAGAACAAACTTTAAAAAAGAATTAAATTAAGAGGGTTTAGAATTTGTATTCGGTACAAAAGAGTGCACATCACTGTTGATCGCAAATAAGTAAATAACAGAACATGTGAGCAACACATTATTATGTAGTGAGTGAGAATATATTAAATAAGATAAAAGTATAAAAAAAAAGTGAAAACAAAACATGGTTTCATTTTCCAGTGAAGAAGGCATAGGTGACTGACTTACTTTCCCGTAACCACAACTGCGGATGGAATTTCCAACCTTCACCACCAAGTCGTACACTTCTTTGTAAGTTTGCCACTTGTACTTGTCAGGCTACAAAAGAGCCCCGAGAAAAATAATTCATAAGTGGTGAGTGGTGACTTATTTGCAGATTGTCAAAAGTGAAAGAAAGATAAAAGAGAGAGTTTACTTTCCCATTCACGATCTCCCGGCAACCAAGCATTGGATTTGTTGGATATTTCTCAACAGACATTCTGTATAAGAACAAAAACAGTCAGAACTAACATGAAATGTCTAATATCTTATCAAATATAACAAGTCCCATGCTCATTCCTAATTATTTATTTCAAGAAGTACATAGTTATAATATTAATTTTTTTTTAACAAACTTTATAATTTCGAACATAATACTTATATTTCCCTAAAAATATATACATGCACATCATCATAAACGTTTTTTTTTTTTTTTTCATTCTATCTCCTTTTTTTATTAAATAAAAATCACCAATTCAATCATAACAATGGTGGTTCACTCCATCTACCAGATTCAAATAACTACTCATTCCATCCATCTGGAACGTTGCATTCACAATCATCATTGATTTCATCCAAATATGCATGGATGGTGTTGTCTCGTTGTAAATATCAAATTTAAGAAAAGAAGAAAACATTATTAACATTGTCCATGAAACAGACCTGAAAACATCCCAACAGGTTTTAAGACCATCAACGGGAGGAGGATGTGCATGATCCTTGGAAAAGACGCTGCGGTAAACGGGGCCCATGGATGGCCTTCCATCTTTGGCCTCCTTCGCTTTCTCAACCTCAACGATATATCTTGTTTCCTCCATGCCTTTGAATCAAATCTTCCTCACCCTCAATAACTGGAACTGGAAGCACACGAAGAGACACAACGGAATCGACAACTTGCCACTACAACGACGTTAAAACGTGTTACGTGTCGTGAGACACGCTTTCTATTGGTCAACAACTTCAGATCGTTGCACACTTTTTTCTGCGCCATGTAGCGAGTTAGTTACTAATTTCCATATTTTTTTTTTTCTTATTTGAGTTTTTAATTATCCCTATTCAATTTTCAATTTCCTAATAGCTCACGTTGTTATTATATTTTAGGAGCAAATTTTGTGCAATTATACACATTCATCCTTAATATATATATATATATATATATATATATTTTTTTTTTTTTTGTTACATTGGAGAAAAAAAAGAAAACAACTATCTACGAATCGAAGTCACGCCTAAAGCATTCTCCGGAAGAAAAGGTCCAAGACTAAGCGGGATTACATTGTATACAAAACAATTATGTGCTTATATTTACAAAAAAAAAAAAAAAAAACAATTATGTGCTTATACAAAACTAAAGTACTATAGGTGTTAAAAAAATTAGACGAGGAATAAAAAAAAAAAGTACTTGTCATTTTAAATGATATAAAATTGTGTTATTTTAAGATAAAGATAGACACAAAATAATATTTTTTATTTAAAATTTAAATTAAAAAAAATCACTTATTTTTTTCCCCATAATTTTTATTTTTTGTGTATATCTCTCTCCTAAAATGATATAACTTATATCTTTTAAAACGACAAATATTAAACCCATAAAACATATTAGAATACTGATTACACAAACCCCATAGCTAACCCAGATCCCCCGACTCCGGCACATTGGAGTTTGGTGCGTTCAATCGATTTTCACATGCTTACAACTGCCATATTCTTAAAAGAAAATAAATGTCAAAGCAGTGTTAATTAAAAGGCATTTAATATCTTTTATTAAGTACTATTAAATATATCAAATTTATGAAAATAAATAATAATAAAAACTTTTTATTCTAAACATATCAAATTATATAATTTTTATTTAATATTTATTATTTGTTACTCCTTTTAACTCTTTGGTTAATAAAACCCCTTTTTTAATATTATTAGGGAAAAAGATTATGAGCATTTAACACAAATGTCTTTTCATGAATTTGACCACACGACTGAGCATCACCCAAAGATTATATAACTTAACATTTACCTAATAGTTTATATTTTGCATCTTTATAAATTTATATATGAAATCATATATAAACAATAAAAGCATAATTTAACTTCTACAATATAATACTCAACCAGTGTGACACAAGAGCCTACTATAATAAATATCAGTGGATTATATTGTTGATTCCATAGAATCCCAATGGGCACTAAGAACACGAGCGAAGTTTGTGTGATAAAACATTTGATGGGACTGCAGAGAGAGAAAGAAAAAAAGTTGAGGAGAAAGATGAGAGAAAAAAGGAAAAAAAATTAATCTAGGTGTCAATTTTCTAGTGAAAAGATCATGGTCGTCCTGGATCACATTTAAAAAATTCCTATGAACTCCTATGAACAGGTAGCCTTCACTATCATTTATTTGATCAAGTTCTCAGGCGAATGTCATCACATTTAAAGATAAAGCACACGCCATTCCCGGCACACGCAAGAGACAAGTACACCTGATCGCAACCTTCGCCTACACATGACAGGTTAAGTGCTCTCTTAAAACTAGAGAATCTTTCCTATCAAATAGGTATACTGGGAGTAGTTTCCCACAATGAAATATTAATTCATATCAACATGCAAAAGCTCATCAAATACCTTGGGCAATGACAATAACAAACCTAAGGGCATTCAAGTAATGTTAACAGCTGGGAATTCCATGTGCTAGACGGCAAACATGAATCACAAAACCAAACAATATTCCATGGAAGAATACTAATATACAATGGAAGCGCAAATGAACAGAAATAAGTTCAAATGAAAAGGGTAAAAATATTCCAGACATAAAAAATATATCTAGCCAGCTAGCACACGGAAAATTCTATTTGCATCAGCTAAGGGATTGGGGTTGGGATGCAGCAGACCAAGCATACGACTACTCTGAAAGTGACATCATGAGATTCATATTCCAGCCAGTTTGTCAGTTGCCAAATTGACCTCTTCCCCATGGAGACCTCCGGCTCCCACCTCCATTGTGGTGCACAGCATTATTCTGTCTTGACAAAACTTTCATTCTTTGCTCCTTCATGTTTGCAAACAGTGAATCCAATGTCTGAGGCCTCTGCTTAGGCATTATATTGACATCCTCCTGCTGTTGCTGACCAGAAGGCAGTGGATGCTATACACAAAATACAAATTCATTAAAATTTTCCAGCTTTGCACATCAATGAAGCTCGCTTCTTCTGAATGAGCTTAGTTAACCTTTAAATGTGAAGACATATTAATCTTAAGACTGAATGTTCAATTACAATGTGAACAGATAAAAAAGAAGACACTCCAACTGAGCTCCACAACCTTATCAGTTATCACCATAAAGTAAACGGTCACTCCACTAATCCTAAAAAACACCTTCATCCTCATGTTTTCAAACTTGTACACCCTTAATCCCCAACCCTAACAGAAAAAGGCAACATGGTTACAAATGTAAAAAGCCCAATTCAATTAAGAATAGCCACGTATGGCCAGCTTAAAGTAACCTCCACCTAATATCAGTTATACTCACTGGAAGCATTCTTTCCACGAAAATGTTGAGTTTTTTAATAACAAATGCAGCATACAGAGCTAGAAAACACACACTCGACTCGACCATAAGAGAAAACTGTCGCACCTTAGCAGCAAAACCTCCACTGGCAGCCCATCTCTGACTCACAGGAACGTGAAACCTGCAGCCAAAAAGAAAATAGAATAATTGAAGACCAGAAACATGATATGATTCCAGAGATTCCTCAAAAGCAGTGACTAGCATCCGACATGTTCAGCACCAAGGACTACTTCTAATAGAAACGCTACTCATTAACCTTTCACTTACAAAAAAGTTCACCCTCTTACCATCAGATTCTATATATATCCAATTAAAAAGAAAGAAGAAACAATTTAATGACAAATAGGCTACGTATTTGAAGATCAACTTGGTGAACATCTTTCAAAATTTCCACAGAAAGCTCTGAGTTGCAACACGCTCTGGAGTTTGTGCCTAGCAGTGCCCAACAACTTGGATGAAGCTTACTACAGACCAGATCTGTTTACTATCGCGGAGGCTGTCAACCAATTAGACCAGTTACGAAGACCTCAAGGCTTCCAAGCTGACTTCTTCTCCGCAACAATTGTATGTTGCTGTAATGTAGCAACAAAATTATCTGGTTTGGTGACTAGGGACTAGGGTACCATTTCCCCACAAGCAAAACACCATATGCACCTCTGTTTAGTTCTAAAGCAGCTTGAATTGAAACAAATTCTTAGAGAGCATCATCATCCCGCCACAATGTTTACCCGACACAGAAATTTGCCACATGATTCAACTTGATTTCCAACCACAAAAAAAAAATTTCTCCAGAGACAAACCCACAACAAAGTGATTACAGATTCTTGGGCAAAGAAAATATTTTCTTATTCTACAGAATGAACAGATATTGTTTCAATTATCTGGCTAGTGGTTGCAAATAGTTACAAGTAAGAATCAGTCAGCGCAAAATATTAAAGTGGCTGGCAAGTTGTAGGTGCCTGATCTTGCAGCAGAATCCCATACTGCATGGCAAGTGCACTAATCCTGCAGCATTCACTCAACTAGGAGGAAACAAGGATTTTAGAGCCAATATCATGTCAAAGAGGAGAAGGTCAATGGAAAATAGAAAAACCAACAAGAATCACAACCCCGCAACTCATAATGAGGGAACAAGTCTAAAAGAGGGTGACCATACATCATAAATGTAATGACAACATGAGCTTATCCCTTCAAAAAGACAAAAATTTCACAAGAAGAAATGCTTAGTTAGGTACTGCCACAATCACCAAACTTGCTTCTAAACAAACTGAACTAATGCAGAGCTGTTTCTCCATGCGCGCCAACTACTAAATAAGTGTAACAATATTATCCTGACTTTTGTGCATATGTAACAGCACCTCCATGACCAGAATCACATACTTCAGAAAAAACAATCTTAATTTATCATTTCTAGCAACATGTTTCAGGCAAAACAGGTTCCATCTAACTAGAGATCTATTCACATCGCCAGCATGCTCAAACAACACAACTCCAATTGTCTAGAATGAACATCCATACATGAGATATCAATCCACTCAAGCCATGACGAAGTTTGAACAATATTGTTATTATGAGATTATAATGCAAGAATATCAGAATTCCATAAACACGTGGCTGGCTCTCATTCATAATGTCTATTAGATATAGTATCTTACTGTATTATACCTTTATCCAATGTATCTGCGTGTAGCTGATAAATTCCTTTTAGTCAGTTACAATTCTGTTTTGGCTTACTGTATATATATCAGGATGCCTTGTATCACATACAATAACCATAATATACATTCTCAGATATTCACTTTTCTCTCTCTCTCTCTCTCTCTCTCTCTCTCTCTCTCTCTCTTTCTCTTCCTCTCTCATCTATGGCTTCTACACAGTATTCGAATATGGTATCAGAGCTCTCATCCTGAGGGCTTGATCCATTTTTCGAGCTTCACTATGGCTTCCGCTTTAGCATCTGATACTGTTGTTCCGTCAAACAACAACGAATCAACTACATCAAGTTCACATAGAGATTCAACTTCAATGGAGAATCGCGCGCCTCTTCTCTTCAATCACCAAATCACCGTCAAACTCACAGAAGACAATTATCTATTCTGGAACCAGATAATTGAACCGATTATTACATCTCACTAGTTGCATCGTCATCTAGTAAATCCAGTAAATCCAAAAATTCCTGTTCAGTACAAGACCGTGGAAGATTGCGAAAATGAAATTCAGAATCCAGAGTATTAGAGTAGATACATAGGGATATATTTGTAATATCTGATAAGGGTACTTTTGTAATACACCAAGTGTAATTAGTTACACTAACCAATTCTGTTCAACAGAACCAATGACGTGGCTCTTACCCTTAGCACTATAAGGGGGTCACGTGTGCTGATTTACACATAATGAAAACATGAGATATTTTTCACTTTTCTCTCTTCTCTCTCTCTCTTTCTTCTTCATCTCTCTTCTGGTTCCTCTGATGGTATCAGAGCCTTCTTCGAGGGCCTGATACAAGCTACTCTCTCACCATGTCTTCCGCGTCACCTTCTCAGTCGACGAGTTCGACAATAAACGCAGCAACGGAGAATCGCTCATCGTCTCCGTCACTGTTCAACCATGCGATCTCTGTTAAGTTGACCGAAAGCAACTTTCTCTTATGGAATCAAGTTGTAGAGCCAGTAATCACCTCACATCAACTCCAACACTTCCTTGTTAACCCTAAAATTCCACTTCAGTACCAGTCAGAGGAAGATCGTGCTACTGGAGTCACAAATCCACTGTACACTGAGTGGCTGCGTCAAGATCAGATGCTTCTTTCGTGGCTTCTGTCGACGATTTCTGAAGATATGCTGAACGAGATCTTAGGAGTGAGTCATGCATATGAAGCATGGGATCAGATCCACAAATTTTTTCAAGGAATGATGAGATCCAAAGCTCATCAACTCATATCTGAGCTTCGCACTATCAAAAAAGGTGGTAGATCCATTGCAGAAAATCTTAGACGCTTCAAGTCGTTGTGTGATGAGTTAAAGGCTATCAAAAGTCCTATTTCTACTGAAGAACAAATGGAAATAATCCTAGCTGGACTTCCTGCAGAGTTCAACGCCTTTGTTACAGCTGTTAGAGCTCGTGAAAATCCCTATTCACTCAATGATCTACGTGTTGAATTAATGTCTCATGAGATGATGCTTGCAAAGCAAAATGAGACACTTCTGGCAGAGTCAATGTCTGTGAATGTTGTACAGGCACAACCTACTGATCAGAAAACTGATTCCACATCTAGCAGAGCTCCTCTTCGTACTATTCAACAAAGTCATGATCACAGTCTGCCAAACCAGAGGTCTTATGGCACTGGTAGAGGAAGAGGAAGATCTTTCATGCGTTATAACAGAAGTGGCAGAAGCTATGGACGCAACAACCTGCAATGTCAATTGTGCTATAAGTTTGGACACAGTGTCCAGAGCTGTTGGTACCGTTTTGATGAAAATTTTGTACCTGATCACTCTCTATCTACAGCTTCACAGCACTTTCCAGCTGCTCAGTCCTACTCTCAAAGGTCACACCAGTATATTCGACCTTCCCCACATTCTCCTCAAGTTCTCCTCACTACAAATCAGAACCAACACATGCCTCCACAACAATGCAATACTGCTTCACAAGGGCAAGGTTTATTGCCAACTCCTCCAAGTGTTCAAGCCATTGAGTGGTTTCCAGACTCAGGGGCTTCTCATCATGTCACGTCTCATCCTCAAAACCTCCTGCAAAGTACTCAGCTGACAGGTGCAGATCAGGTTTACATAGGAAATGGACAAGATCTGAAAGTTCATGCCACTGGTTTATCCTCTTTTCCCTCTCCTATTAACCCACACACTCACTTGCACCTTCACAACTTATTGCTTGTACCTTCCATCACTAAAAACCTTATCAGTGTGAGTAAATTTGCCAGGGACAATAGAGTTTATTTTGAATTTCACCCCTTTACTTGCTGTGTCAAATCACAGGAATCTCATGAAGTGCTGTTGGAGGGTGACTTGGGATCAGATGGTCTATATCGTTTCAATGGAGTACATCTTGCTCCAGCCTCAAGTCAGACTTGTGTCTCCAACTCAATGTCTCTTTGTAATAAGTCTTTAGGTTCTAGTCCTTCTTTTTCAAGTGTCAATTCCCCATGTACAATAAATGTTGCTTCTGGTCATCAGAAAGTTGTAGGCTCATCATACATGTACTCTTTATGGCATTGTCGTTTGGGTCATCCTCACACTGAGGCTCTCAATTCTGTTTTAAAGTCTTGTAATGTCCCTATTCCAAATAAAAGTGACATTGATTTTTGTTCAGCTTGTTGTATGGGTAAAATTCACCGATTGCATTCACCAACTTCAACCTCAGTCTATGAAAAACCTTTTGATTTGGTCTTCAGTGACTTATGGGGTCCTGCCCCAGTAAAATCAACCTTGGGATTTGCATACTATATCTCCTTTGTAGATGCTCACTCTAGGTATACTTGGATTTATCCTCTCAAACAAAAATCTGAAACTATAATTATTTTTTCTCAGTTTAAAACTCTTGTTTCAAATCATTTTCAATCCTCTATAAAAGCTCTCCAAACTGACTGGGGAGGAGAATTTCGTTCTTTTCATCAACTTTTGAAACAACATGGTATCATTCACAGAATTACATGTCCTCACACTCACCATCACAATGGAGTGGTTGAGAGGAAACATCGTCACATAGTAGAAACTGGTCTTACCTTACTTGCACATGCATCTCTGCTCATCAAATTTTGGGATCATGCATTTATCTCAGCTGTCCACCTTATCAACTGCCTTCCTACAGCATCATTGAACTTTGAGGTCCCTTTCACTAAACTTTTTAAATCTGTCCCTGACTATAAGAGTCTTAAAGTCTTTGGCTGTGCATGTTTTCCCTTCTTAAGACCATATAATAATCATAAGTTGGACTTTAGAAGCAGTGAGTGCTTATTTCTTGGCTACTCTCCCAATCACAAAGGCTACAAATGTCTCAACTCCTCTGGTCGTCTGTTCATTTCCAAGGATGTCCTTTTTAATGAAACAAAATTTCCATATACCTCTTGGACACATGTGACATCCTCTCTTCCTGCCAGTACTACCTCACAACCCATTTCCAACTTAATTCCATTGGTACCTTCTTCTGTACCCTGTTCCCAAACACCAATCTCTAGTCAACAGAGTGACTCTCCTCTACAGCAGTATACCTCTCCTCTCCCAGCATCCAGGTCAGTATCCTCTTCTGGTTCAACCTCAGTCAGTCCAGCTGATCCCTCATCCTCATCCTCCCAAGCAGCAAGCACTTCACATTCCAACAGTGATGTATCACCTTCTGGTTCAGGTATCAGTTTATCCTCTCCAATTTCAGCTAACTCTAGCCCTTTCTCTTCTTCTAGCACCAGTTCTGGTTCGGAGTATATACCCTCTGGTTCCCTTCGTTCTTCTCCTTCTCATACTATCCTCACTCGATCTAAGTCTGCCCAACTACCTCAAATACTACTGACTTCTCTTGAACCTACCTCACTCAAACAGGCTCTTGTCAATCCCAATTGGCTTACTGCTATGCAATCGGAAATCAATGCTCTTCAAGCTAATTCTACCTGGACCTTAGTTCCCCTTCCCGAAAACAGAAAGGCCATTGGCTGCAAATGGGTCTTTCGGATTAAGGAGAACCCAGATGGCTCTATCAGCAGGTACAAAGCCAGATTAGTGGCTAAAGGCTTCCACCAGCAAGCTGATTTTGACTTCACTGAGACATTCTCCCCAATTGTGAAGCCCATTACCATTCGGGTCATTCTTACTATTGCCATTTCTTTTGGTTGGCAGCTAAGACAGTTGGATGTCAATAATGCCTTTCTCAATGGCATTTTAGAGGAAGAAGTCTACATGACACAACCCCCTGGTTTTGAATTTTCTGATAAGTCTCTTGTTTGCAGGTTACATAAAGCTTTATATGGTTTAAAGCTGGCACCAAGGGCCTGGTTTGACAAACTCAAGGCATCTTTGTTTCAGCTTGGATTTTTGGCAAGCAAATGTGATCCTTCCTTTTTTATCTATAGGAAGTCCAATCACTGTGTGTTCCTCCTAGTTTATGTAGATGATATAATCATCACTGGAAGTGATGCTAGCTTGCTTCACTCTTTAGTTCATAATCTGAATGCTGTTTTTTCTCTAAAAGATCTTGGAGATCTTGATTTTTTCCTTGGTATTGAAGTCAAGAAGTCAGCTTCTGGTGGCCGCTTTCTATCATAGTCCAAATACATCAGAGACCTGCTTACCAAAGCCAATATGGCTGAAGCAAAAGGAATTTCTACTCCCCTCCCTTCTGGCTGCAAGTTGTCCAAATATGGTTCCAATTATTACTTAGACCCCTCATTTTATCGCTCCATTATTGGAGCTTTGCAGTATGCAACTCTCACACGGCCAGAAATTAGCTATGCAGTGAACAAAGCTTGTCAGTTTATGTCTCAGCCTTTTGAAGAACACTGGTCAGCTGTCAAACGCATTTTAAGGTACCTTCGGGGTACACTCAAGCATGGGATGTTGCTGCAACCTTGTCATCCCAGCCATCTCTTTTCTATCACTGCCTTCTGTGATGCTGATTGGGCAGGGGATCCAGATGATCGACGTTCAACATCAGTTGCCTGTGTGTTTTTTGGATCTAACTTGGTCTCTTGGTGGTCCAAGAAACAACCATTGATTGCACGGTCTAGCACTGAGGCTGAATACCGTAGCCTTGCACTTGCCACTTCTGAGGTTCTTTGGCTCAAGTCTCTATTACATGAATTTCATATTCAGTTCTCCACTCCCCTGATTTTCTGTGATAATCTAAGCACAGTTTCACTGTCCCACAATCCTGTTCTTCATGCTCGTACCAAGCACATGGAACTTGACTTATTTTTTGTTCGTGAGAGGGTTCTAGCTAAAGACATTTGTGTCTGTCACGTTCCTGCTATAGATCAGCTTGCTGACACTCTCACCAAAAGCCTCTCTACCTCTCGTTTTGCTGTTCTGCGTGACAAACTCAGTGTGGTTGACTATCACTCTTTGTTTCATCCACCCTGAGTTTGAGGGGGGCTATTAGAGTAGATACATAGGGATATATTTGTAATATCTGATAAGGGTACTTTTGTAATACACCAAGTGTAATTAGTTACACTTACCAATTCTGTTCAACAGAACCAGTGACGTGGCTCTTACCCTTAGCACTATAAGGGGGTCACGTGTGCTGATTTACACATAATGAAAACATGAGATATTTTTCTCTTTTCTCTCCTCTCTCTCTTTCTTCTTCATCTCTCTTCTGGTTTCACTGACTAGTGTTTGAAATTCTAATTCATAAAAAATAAACTATGACAGATATAGAGCATAAAATATACTCATTGTATGCATTGTAATGTGAAGGTGTTGTAAGTTTTTCAACAAAATAATTGTATAAAAATGGCCGCAGTGTAAACTAGTTATATATGTGATGAGACCTTGGAATGCACCACCCCAAAAGCTAGCTCAAAGGGTGGGAGTGCCCAAAGCCTTATAAATCCCATATTAGTTGCCCATACAACCAATGTGGGAGTCCAAGTCCCATACTTTGCAAATGGAACCCAACATTCCACAAGCTTCCCTAGTGCGTGCCCTCATGCACACTCCACGTGATGGATGCTCTGATATCATTTGATGAGACCTTGGGATGCACCACCTCAAAAGCTAGTTCAAAGGGTAGGAGTGCCCAAGGCCTTATAAATCCCACATTAGTTGCCCATACAACCAATGTGGGACTCTAAGTCCCATACCTTGCAAATGAAACCCAACAATATGCTATTAAATTTTAACTCATGATGCACGTGCACACTCAGATGCATACTAGTCATTGTATGGAAGCTTAAACTGAAAAAAACTGTCATATTTTCTTCAATGAGATGATTTTCCACTAAATTTGTGTCAGGTTAACTTGCAGAAGTGCTTTTAACGATCACTCCTGCTCTATTTTCTGTTAATTGTGCTTTTTGTGAATGGCAAACTAGTGGCACTTGGTCTTTATTTTTCTCTAATCTCCTTGCTTCCTATATTCTGTTGTTAAATTCAGTTATTGATATACTATAATGATTTGACAGAACTGTTTTATCTTTACCCCCAATTATCAATGGTGCACATTCAGCCATCACTCTGGAGACTAAGAATGTATTGATTGAATGTACTGCTACTGATCTGACAAAGGCGAAGATTGTTTTAAATATAATGGTGGAGTAGTGAATTTCATTTTATGCTTTTCTGTTTGCATTTTATAGGTGTTACAATTGTTTAGATGATGACAGACTATTCTATGTTTTCTTAGGTGACAGCCTTCTCAGAATATTGTGAAAATAAGTTTGTCATTGAACCAGTTGAAGTGATTTCTTCCGATGGAAAGTCACACATATATCCTGATTTATCTGTCTACAATATGGAAGTTTCTCTATCTTACGTTACTGGATTGACTGGGGTATCATTGGAGGCAGAAGAGGTAATTATTTCCTGTAATGTAAAATCTAAGGAGAATTTTGGTGCTTTATATTGAATGGCTTGTTCCTGCACTTGCAAATTGACTATTGATAACTGATTAAGCTTAGTATTAACATTTTTATTATCTTAAGTTAATTTATCTTGAGGACTAAATTTGGTATGTGTTTAAACAATCAATATATTTTATTTTTAAGATTTGTACGTATTTCAGGGTAGGTGTGTTTTCTTTTATGCATGCATTTTACTCTTTCTATGCGCAGTGTATTGTCTCTAATGCAAGATTCAATGCTCATTGTGTTCTGGCAGCAACTGAAGTGAATAAATATTGTCTAACTTGTCATTTCTGTTTCATAACCTCCCTCTACTTCAGGTCACTAAGCTCTTAAATCGGATGCAATTGCAAGCTGAACAGTCTACATCTGACAATAAGCAGTGTAACTTTGTTGTATCTGTACCTCCCCATAGAAGTGATATTCTTCACCCGTGTGATGTTATGGAGGTACTGGCAGTGATAGACTTGATTATTCCTAAATGCATGTTTTGGATCTATGTGTATTTTACTGATAAGCCATGCTCTTTTTTTTTTTTTTTTGTCTATAGGATGTTGCAATTGCTTATGGATTCAATGCTATCAAGGATAAAGCAGTAGTAGATAATCGGGGCTCAAAGAGATTGGCTACTTCCTTGACAATGCTTCCTCTGAATGAGCTTAGTGATCTTATCAGAAAAGAGGTATAGAACAAAATAACAGATCATTTGACTCCTTGATTGAAGCAGGTTAATGATTCATGCTTTTGATTTCTCTTTAAATAAGCCAATCATATTATCTTTGTTAAACCCAGTGCAATAGAATAAATTACTAAAGCACGGCATATTCATGAATGTTACTGTTAGTTGTTTAAAGTGCCCAGTTATCTGAATCCTTTTATTACTAACTTCTTTTCAGGTCGCAATGATTGGGTTCACAGAGGTCTTGACATTTATACTTTGCTCTAAAAGGGAAAACTTTGCCTTGCTAAACCGCAAAGATGATAAATCTAAAGCAGTCGTCATTGGAAACCCTAGGTCTTCAGACTTTGAGGTTCACACGCTTTATCTTCCTTTTTCAATGGCAATGTGCCTACTAAGCTTATACAAAGAAGTTAATCTAATTGCAATGACAATAGAAAGTCTTTAAATTGTCCTTTTTAGTATTTGTCTCTTCACGTAGTTCTCGGAAGTTGTTTATATTCTTTCCTGTCTTTTCGAGTTGTGCAAACTACTAATAGTTCTCACTGTTTCTCATACATAGCTCCTCTGATAGTTTTTATTTTTTACTAATATTATTTCTTTCTTCCTTTACTTATCTTTGATCGGAAGAGTAATTTTTACTTAGAAAGGCTAATCATGCTAAATTAATCTAAGAGTTGAAATGAGAAAAGAATAGTATCATCGAATGCATCACAGGATGGCAGTGCTGCTGCATCCAGGCTGCCATCTACAAATCATCACGACAGACTGTTCTCTTTTCCTTTTTTTGGTTTTCTGCTGCATGGATTATATTCCCAGTATTGAATTGCAATCTGAAGTTGAATATTCCTGACTTGATCAATCACCTGTATTTTATCTGCTATCTGCTCTTTAGTAGTAGATTTACTTGGGGATATACTTTGAAGTTGAACAAGTTGCATACTTGAGTTGCTAGAATTGTATAATACCAACATTGAACTGGTTAGGATGCAATATACCTACTATCATGCAACCAATTCTCTCAAAAGCTTAAATTGTTAGTGAAGGCAAATGAATGATTTTATATATTATATTATATTTTTCTAACGCCCTCTCATGCAAGAGCCTATTGGGCTTACAAGGTGAATAGTGCACAAGGTCATCACCTGTGCTAAGAAATTTTATAATATTTATTAGAAGATTATTAGAAAAATATGGACGCGACAAGGATCGAACTCTAGATCACTTGGTCATAAAAGCTTTAATACCATGTAAAGTAACCAATTCTCCCAAAAGCTTAGGGTGCACATGACAACCTTCCCGGAATCAATTCTTTTTTAATTTCTGTTCCCGGGAACAGAAATGGATAGGAAACTCGTTTGGTAAAACCGGTTTATTTTTTTGTTTCCGGGATGAACCGGTTTAATTTTTGTGCCGGGGAACAGAAAAAAGAATCAAAAAATTTGTGCTTTTTTGTTCCTGGGCACAAAAGGAGAAACACTTATCTCTCTCAATCACTCTCCACATCTACCATCATTACCACCACCTCCTCCACCATCACTACCACCATGCCATCGTCACCACCACCACAATTACCGCCGCCGCCGCCGCCGCCACTATCATCGTCACCACCACCATCACCACTACCGCCATCTACCACCACCACTATTATCGCAACCACTGTCGTCACTGCCACCATCGCCATCACACGCCACTGCCACCACCCCATCGCCATCACTACTATCACCACGACGCCACCACTACCATCACCTCCACTGTCACCAACCACCACTACCATTGTCACAGCCACCACCGTCGTCGTCACCGCCGCCACCACCAACCACTACCACCATCGTCAAAGCCATTACGGTCACCACCATCGCCACTATTACACCACCCCCACCACTACCATCACCACGCCATCGCCACCACTGCCACCATCACCACCACCACCACCACCACCACCACCATTGTCACCTACCACTACCGCCACCGCCGTAGTCACTACCACCACCACCACCATCATGCCACTGCTATCATTGTTGTCGCCACCAACCACCATATCCACCACCATTGTCGCAGCCACTGTCGTCACCTCCACCACCACCATTACCACTGTTATCGTCTCAGCCACTGTCGTCACAACCACCACCACTATCTTCACCACGTCAATGCCACCACCACTACCATACAGCCGCCGCCACCACAACCACACCATATGGAAAGGAAAGTGATGATCCAAAAAATTTTTATATTTAATAGAAATTATTTTTTATTATATTATTTGTTGTGTTATCAAACGCAATTCTCATTCTCGGAATAAAAATAGAACATGTTATCAAACACATTTTTTTTCTCAGAAACTGCTCCAAGGCACATAAATAGAAAATAATTGATTCTTTTCAGAAACAGTGCTAGGGAATAGAATGGTTGTCATGCACACCCTTAATCTATTGGGAGAGGCAAATAAATGGTTTTATATATTATATTATATTATATTTGCAACACTTACTTGTATATGTTGACCTGGCATTTAGATGGGTTCACTGTACTGATGTTGTTTCTCACTTCTTGCTGAGAACCCAAAATTCATTCAATTTATATCTGTCGGTCATCTGTTCTGTTGCTTTTAGTCCTATATTTCCTTAAAAAAAACTTTCAAGCAACAGGTTGGATGTGTGTATTCATTAGTGATATATTGGTTTTTCACCAAGATAAAAATGATATATTGATTTTCTCTCCTTATTTTTTTTTAGTTTTTGGCCTTAATTCATATAATTTATTTTTTATGTCTAACATATATTCAGGCTGTCCGGACTAGTCTTATGCCTGGTATTTTGAAAACTGTTGCTCACAACAAGGATCATCCAAAGCCCATAAAGGTATTATTTTAAGTTCGTCCCTTTGGTTATTGATATTTCTATCATGAGTCTTTACAGTAATCATATTTTCTATCATGAAAGTGTGATCCTTTGGGATAAAGGTGATGTTGATGTATAAAAGTGTGGTTGTCACATGAAAATTCAGTGCCAGTGATAGTAAATTGTATGGGATCTTTCATTTTAGGTATATTCTTTCAGTGTAATATATCTGCTTAGAAAATTATTGTCCAAATCATTATGTCATTTTCACATTGCCACTTCCTTAATTAGAGATATCATTTCGCATGCAATGTTAACATGAATCATGATGTGTGTCTATGGTATTAGAGAGATTAACCTATCAAATCATAGAAAGCAATAATAAATGACATATAATAAACTGGAAGGCAGTAGAGAAAGTGATAAACTGGCCGGAAATGCAAAGACTTGTAAACGAATGGAAAATGTGAAAGATTGCTATATTAGTATATTACCTAGCAAGTCTGCTGCCAAATACATAATCACTTGATTCTTCTGATGAGTTCATAATATATTACATGTGCAATTTAGAAAGGTTGCTATTAGAAAAATATATTGATACCTAGTCTTTTCCACAGAAAGGTTCAAACTTAAGTTGGTGAGAACTAATTGTTTACTCTACCTCTGCATCGTACATTGCTATTTTTCATTTTTTTTATCCTGAACTGTTTTAAGCTTAGAACAACTCATTTCTATCTTAAAATTCTGGTTTAGATTTTTGAAGTGGGTGATATAGCAATTTTGGATGACAAAAATGATGTTGGCGCAAAAAATCTTCGCCAACTTGCTGCACTGTACTGTGGTGCTAATGCGGGATTCGAGGTATACTAAATAATGCTTCATGATACTTCATTTGGTTCTTTGCTATTTGAATATAAGTTATTGAATGTAAAGTATTTGATATATTGCTATCTCTACTTGATTTATCAGTGAGTAGGATGAGAACCTTAGATTGTTCTTATCCACACTGGCTGTATTTGTAAAAGAAGTTCAATATCTAAATTATATATCGCTAATCCTAACAGTTAGCATGTAGTCCTTCTAGACACGAGAAAAATAAATTGGATGATCGAATTTCATTTTATCCAATGATATGCAGATAATTCATGGCTTGGTGGACAGAGTAATGGAAAAGAATGGTGTTCCCTTTGTTTCACCTGGTGATAAAGCAGGTTATTATATTGAGCGGTCAGATGTAAGTGTATAATCCTGCATAGGAGTTCTGTGTGTTTTATTTTGTCCTTTTTTTCTTGTAAAGGATATTTATTCTGCTGCTGATTAGTATTCTATGAACTCAATTGCTTATTGAAGGAGCCTGAGTTTCTTGCTGGTAGACAAGCTAGAATCATTTACAAGGGAAAGCACATTGGCACTTTTGGCATTGTTCATCCAGAGGTAGTTGTCATCACTAAAATTATGTTATCTTGATTTAATATGGCCACTTGTTCGTACATGATTTTGCATTCCTGTATTTTTTTTGTTTTGGTGATTGTGTCTATTTTCTGTAATTAAGCCATATTTTAATTGAGGTTATTTTGAATTGGTTAAAATGATTACAAGAGAGGGATTTGCAGAATGGAGACGCAAGTATTCCATATTTCTTTGTTGAGCAGATTGTATCTCTCTGGCAATAAATGTTTCAGTTCTATTCTTACTTGGCACTATTTTCTTCCTCTATTTTCACATAATATATATATATATATATATATATATATATATATATATATATATAAATAATCTGTATTTGTTCTTTCAAAATTTAAACTACTATGTGTTCTTTCAGGTATTAAACAACTTCGACATTCCGGATCCCTGCTCCTTTGTTGAACTTAATATTGAAAGTTTCATATAAAGATTATTTGTAGCAAATGTAAGTGTCTCCATCCTAAACTATTTCAGTCTGCGATGATGCAAATGCAGTTTGTATTTTCTCATTGCTGTTGCGCTTCTACGTCTTTCACCCCCCCTTCCCCCAACTACTACACCACCTCCTTCCTCTTGTAATTTTTGTTAGGCTGATATTGATCTCCCTGTAGGTAGTCATTTTCCCCCCTCGTTTTTTTTGAAATTATTGTTCTTTCAAGCTCGGAATCAAGATGCTCAACTGCTTGAGTGATTATTCAAATTCTTTGAGCTTAAATGTAACTTTATATGTCCGAGATGAGGGGTGTTTGTATCATTTTCTATACTCAAGTTTCTCCGTTTCATATGTTTAGAACATCAAAAGCAATGAATTACCTGATAGGGATAATTTCAACCGTGAACTTTAGAGCTATTGTTGAAAACAGTTGAATTTGGCCTTAAAACAGACAGGATATTGATACATTTGAAAATTTTGTCAATGAAGAAGAGTAGTCTTAACTCCCAAGTTACATGTCTACCATTTTGTCTGCGGTGGTTTATCATCCTTGTTTAAGACTGTTAGATGTTTTATGTTTGATCCATCTATACTGACGTGGAAAAATTTGAGCGTGATGTTAGGGATCTCCTCGTATGAACCTTGTCCTATAAAGAAGTTTATGATTAATAATTTTATTGTTTGGAGTTTTTAAACCCTAAACCCACAGTGTAATTTGATTACTGTTTTAATTATTATTAAAATAAAAAGAGAAACTGTATTTTTTCTATGTTGTGCAAAAATTGGTATGCTTGGGTATCAGCTGCCATTAACAGAATCACCTGCAGTACTAAATTTTGTTATCAACTGCCATGAAGTTCGCTTCAGTATTAATTCACTAATATATATATATATATATATATATATATATATGTATATATATATATGGGGTTTGTTTTTCTCATGTTGCATGAGAAAACAAATCCTTCCTACACATACCATAAAAAGGTGTGCCGCTTATTTTTTTGTTTTTTGTTTTTTTTAAATAGGTGGGTCTCATACTTAATGTATTTATGACATGAGATTAGAATTCTCCTACAACATAAAATTTACTTTTCCATATATATATATATATATATATATATATATATATATATAGGGGAGAGATCTTTTGACTCTAGAGTAAGACTTACAACTCTTACTCCTCATCTCAACCGTTGATTTCTGTCCATCTAACGGTTATTATTTATTTGAAATAAATAAATAATTAATTGTTATAAATAACCGTTAGATGAACAGAAATCAACGGTTGAGATGAGGAGTAAGAGTTGTAAGTCTTACTCTAGAGTCAAAAGATCTCTCCCCATATATATATATATATATATATATATAGTTACGTACATTGGTCTTCTCTAAGGTTATGGAACAATTTTTTGTAACACGATTTTCTCTTATTTACGACAAAATTTTTGTATTGAATGAGATAGGCAAGTATTGTGGTAAACGTAAAGGATTCAAATTCGACCGTCAGGTCGGGACCTCTGCGAAGTAGGCAATTTGTGTTCATACTGCTTAGAACGTCAAATATATGATCGTGTCCATATTTTGTTTTGAAGAACAGTTGAGTGCCAATTACCTTAAAGCACATCCTCAAATTCATACTGTGGGGCTTTGTACCTACATTGTAAAAATAAAATAACAAAATATAATGTCTCGTTGCCTTTCGTGATAATTCTCCCCACGTGAAAATGGATTCCGTTAATTTTTTTTCCTGCCTTTACATTCAAACTTTTCAAAAACTATTAACAACATTTAATCCGTATAGAGTAATACTTATTTTTAACAGTTTATTGTTCTCCCATCTCGGAATTAAATGTGTCATTCCAAAATGATATCGTTGACGGGAGAAATTATCATGACAAGAGAATCAATGAATCCTATTTTTAATTGTACTTAAAAAATAACTGATAATTTATCAATTATACTATAAAATAATAGTTTGAGAAACAGGTATATGTTATCACTAATAGTCTCTTTTAATTTTAATATGGCTATTAGTTGGTACATGATTTTCAATTCCTCGAGTGCAAAGAAAATTTGAATTTAATTATTTATGTAAATCAATTGGTACAGGATTACTTTATAATAAACCTAATTTGTAAAGTGTGAAATTGTATTGGATTAATTATTTAATTGTGCATAATAAAGATTAATTAAGAGGTTTAATTAAATAAAATGAACGTCATGAGAGATTTATGAAGTAAATACTCAAGTAGAGTGATTTTGTTTGTTAAGTGAGGAGATGAGAAAATATAATAAAAATCACAGCCAGCCACTCCTCGCTGCAGCGAGGAGGCCAACGAGCATATGCAGAAATTATAAAAATCTCACTTAAGTGACTTTCTCTTTCCACCCAAACTCATTCTTCTTCACCAACCCACCCGAGGATAGCACCATTTATGAGCCTTTGAACCCTCGAAATCTGAGTTTGCTTAATACTCAATGAAATCCATCAATGTTGGAAGCAAAAATGCATAGGATTATTGAATGAACAAAACCCTTAGCTTAGAACCCACAAAGGAGCCTTGCGTGTGGAGTTGTTCCTAGAAGAAAGTGACGCCCCACTCTTGGTTGAGGCGCTTGGAGTGCTACATTGGGATATTGGAGGCTTGATAATCAATCCTTGTACCTTTGTGGTGTGGCTTGTGGTAAGAACTCTTCACTTTCTTGTGCTTTGAGAAAAGTTGCATATTTAGGATTTTATAAGAATGTTGGTTGGTTGGGTGTGTTGAGGCATGCATTGGACTTGATGCATGTTGGAGAAATGCCCAGGAAGGGATTTAATTGGTGAAAATGCATTTAGAAAATCATTTGGATAATCTTCCACATTTTTGAAAATTTCATGCCTATTTGTAGAGGTTACTTGTTTTTCAAGTAATGTAAATGGGTTGTATTGATTGTGTCCATGGTGTTTCTAGGATTGAGACTTGTGGACCATCATTAATTGATCAAGCATTGGCGGAGCCAATGGAGCTTGATTTGGATACTTGAATTGTTTCAAAGTTGGTAAGTTCCTAACATTTTGACTTTGTGATGGAATTGCCTAGCATGGTTGATGAATATAGATATATTCATTGATTACATCTTGATAGCATTGTTGATAGTAAATTCACTTTGTGGTAGGTGTGAATTGTTAACAAACTAGTGGTGTTGACCTTGTCAAGTAACTCTTGTGTGAAGACTACTTGATTGGAAGGAAAACATAGTTTGGTTAAGAGCTTTTATAGGTAAATTTTTGGATCTTGGGATTTATTATCCCTTGATTATTCCATCAACTCGTGTGGGTTTCGACTTGTGTGGTTGTGTAATGAATTGAATATAATACATGATATATGATGCTTGTTGTATGGTGTAAGAGGGATTCTTACATGGGTATGTGGCAAGGTGGTTCTTTGCGTAATTCATATGGTATGTTGCACGGTTGTGTAATTCATACACTGTTCTTTGGCCTTAGATTATTTGTCTAGAGCGTCATGTCGACAATATGTTTATTAGGAGGGATTGTTGGGAAGTTGTCATTTGTATTTTGATGCGAGGCACTAACAGGAATATTAGACAATTATTTTGCACATTTTGCATGCATAAATACATTCATGATTATGTTGTTTATTGCTTATTGCCTGAAGTGAACTTTGGGATGGAGGAATCCTCTAAAGACCCCTAGTTTACTAAGATGTTTATCTCACCCCGCGTTTTGGGGACCCCCTTTCAATTCCTTGCTTACTCTATCATATATGAACCGATAATCGGTTTGCTGGGATACTTATAGGAATATACTCGTGAAAATGTATGTAAGGTGGATAGTAAGAGATTATGTTCTAAGGTGGCATATCTAACTTTTGAAAGGAGAATAGAAGAATTCCTATCAGATACCCTCAAGATCCAAGATAGTTTATATATCCCTATTACATGAAGAACCCTTGGTGAAGCAAAAGTATTTGTCCTTCATGAAAATTAGTTTTGTTGGCAGCACTTAATGAGCAGCTCCATCAAAATGAAAGGTGAAACTAGGAAAATATTCTTCAAGAACTCCTAACAAAAATCCAGTCCAACATAAACCCTTATCCTTTCCCTGAACTTTTAAATTTGGGCAAGACAATCCATCCACCAATCTTTTCCCTATGATGGGATAAGCTGGCCACTGACCTCGCAATTCTTGATATTGGCAATTCCTGAAATTTAAGTTCCTGAGTACATTATACACCCATCACTATCATCACTTCTCTATGCAAATACTCGTTGGATACAGTTGGAAGATAGGCTCACTATTTCCACCAAAGTGAAATCTAAGTCCTAATATATTCATCACAACTTTTACAGCCCCAATCCATTGAATGTTACGGGCTACACGATGACTTGAGGGTGGAACTGATCAGCCAGGTCAATTTACCAGTTAGGCTGGTTAATTCAAATTCCTGAATAAAATCTGTTCTTTGCTAATGCTATATTTTCTAGTTTATTCCTTTGATTGTCTAATGCAGTCCACTTATAGCACACTTATATTTAAGAGAACAACTGACAACGGCCAGTGGAACAGAATGCATTTAGAATGAGAAATAGAAAGTTACGCAATAATCTAATTTTCTTCAAACTCATTTAAAGGAGCCAACACAACATTTCCATTTATAGACACTTTATATGAATCAAGTAAATTCAGTTCTGTAATTAAATTGGTAGGGAATTTTAAGTATCATGGAATTGCCCAGAATAATTTCAGCATTAAAGGTAAATTCCACAAATCAGCACAGAGAAAGACTAAGAATAAAGGAGAACAGGAATAACAAGCATGAGTCCAGTCAAACAAGATTGATGAAAACATACCCAAGATTACATACTCTTCATAATAGTTACAAATTCTTGTAGATCATCTAATTTCACATTTGAGAGCCCTGCAAAAAGGAATGATCAACTTAGAAATATGGAGTTCAACCCACTTAAGTTAATGCAAGTTGCAGTGCAATGAATGATATTTTGGTTACCTTTGGCAGGATTTATAGCAGATAGATCCGTTTCAGGGCTGTAAGTCCTATTTGTTTTCATTTGTTCAGCCTCTTCAATCATTCTGGTTTTTAGGTTTCCCATCTTCATTCCAAGTTCTGAGGCGGTTGTCACAATCTCTATAGGAAACAATAATATATTTAAAGATCTGTCAACTTAGAAACTTCAATATATAATGTCCGCTAACACTTTGACAATAATTTAAACCAGAGAATAAAAATTTATTCCATCCTACTTTCATTAAAAAAATAATGCAGGACACCCGGAAAGTAATGTTGGCGTTATTTGATTAATGTCTCCCTTAAGATTCATGGACTTAACATTTTGACCCATGACACTTAATGGTGGCCCCTAAATGTTTGATGTGGTTATAAGAAACTATAAGAAGTTGCACCTTTGCCTACAAAGGCTTATCTTCTACATGTAAAACTCCACTATGCAAGACATGTGATACTACACCAAAGGGAAGGGTGACTCAACAACATTGGGGAATATTTCAAATAACAGCACTTACGTAAAGGGTGCAATTCTGTTAGAAGGGAGAAAATAATTATTGCTAAGGTGGCAAGGTGGTTACAAGAGTTTGTTAAACAGAGCTAGAGGCATGTGGAGAGGTAGGAATTGGACAAGGCTTGTCCGCTTGGGCTGGGAAACCAGAATTGGGAGAGACCTCAGGAGCAACTGCTCCAGAAACCTATATATTATTTCTTGTATTTTTCCCAGTTTTTACAACATAAGTTGTACTGCTGCTGCTGAATTACCAGCCTTGATCAATACGCACGCTTCAGTTTTTCTTCCATTTCTTACTTCTACATTCTGGTTCCTATCAAAATGATAAAAAGTATAGAAAACAGAGGATAAAAAACAAAAAATAAACGTCGAGATACTAGTTACTTATTTGACTGGTTATGTAAATGGAAAACTAAAAACTAAAAATAAAAATAAAAAGGAAAAAGAAAAAGAAATGCCCTTTCTGAATTTTTACTTTGAAAAGAATTTCCAAATAAATTACATCAAATGCTAAGTAAACTGTTAGTATCCTAAGAATTTAATGTTCTTTTGCATCATCAAACTTCATAAGAAAAGCAATATACAGGTGTTAGTACATAGTACATACAGATACAGGTATAAAAATGGAGTATCCTCTGCTTAATTAAAATGGAAAGCATACATTCTGTAAGAGAATTAGTCTTCAGTAGTACAGGGGTACTTGCTAAAGGTCAAAACATGAATATAAAGATGACGGGAAGTTCTTTAATTACCCTGAAACAACTCATGCAAAGAGTTCTGCTCATATAATTGTACTGCCTCATTGATATACCCAGCACTGAGAGTAGACTGCCTTTCTAATGTGTGAATTTCATGATTCAGCATTTCAGACTCCTTCCCCACCTGACAGCATAATTAGTATCATGATAAACCAAGTGAGAAACCAAAGAAGTAAAAATTCTGCAAAAGAAAAAATTTAGCAATCAGCAATTCAGCATTATTATCACCTCAGTTAGTTTTTCTCTCAAGGAATCCAACTGAGCATCTATATCTGGATCAAAAGGAGCATCTAGATTGAGGCCATTCTCACATGATTTCTCCTGGAAATACATTTTCTTCCAAGGTTAAAATTAAACCAAAAACTAAAATCTATGCTAAGGAAGCAATATTTCTCAACTAGTACATATACTTGAGGTATTAAAATACATATTCATAGCAGGAGAAAAAAATTAATAAACTGTTGCAAAGGTCGCATGAAATAATACAGAACAAGCTTCGTTGGAGGCATTTGTTTCAAGGTATATGATCACCTTAACAGGAATTAATGGACAGCCTGGTGATATAATGTTCCCGCTATGCACAGCATCCACAAAAAGGTCAAAATCATTGTGTGTCTATATTAGGCAGTCTTACCCTGCATTTGAAAGATGATGATTACATGATTCGAACCTATGACCTCTGAAAAACATGGTAACAATATCAACCGTTGTACGAAGATTCCCCTCCCACCTTCCTAGGAATTGCATTCCCAATAACACTATGACCATGAAAAAGATTGAAGCGTTTTTACAGTGGCCTGTGCCTAAATCTGTTAATTCTTTCCGTCAGTATTTTGGGCTTGAAAGGTTACCATAGTCATTTTGTCAGGGATTATGTTAAGCTTAAGTGACCTTTCTCTGATTTGCCCAACAAGGGGAATTTTGTGTAGTGCTATGAGGCTGAACAAGCCTATAGTAAGCTGCAGCAGTGCATAACCACAGCAACAGTTCTCTCCCCTAGGTAGCTAGATTTTCCACCTTTTCCGTCAGATGGCCACTCTAAGCCTCTATAATTTGTCCCATAAAATGTTCAACTATAGGTTCACTGCGTCAAGTTATGTTGCAGCATATTAAGAGAAAAGTACTGACATAAACTGTTAATAAGTAAAACCTTCAAACAAATCAGTACATATTTCGAATTAGCAACAGTGACATGTAGGGTAAAGCAGATGAATTATCAACATAACACGCCAAAACCATAGTTAAGAACCAATTCAAGCAAGTAAGAGAGAACGTACAGAGTTTGGCATACGAAAACCTTGCGGAACAGCAAAACAGTGATGAAGGCAGTACTTTTCCCAAACAACCAGCTGTTTGTCCAAAACAGATTGAACCCTCTGGCGAACGCAATCAACGCCCTTTCACAAACAACCAATTATATAGAGCAGTTAACACAAATTATCAACTTCAATTATTACAAGTAATCGCTCTAACCCTAATTATTTAGTTGAGAAAAGTTGTGTTGAGTACAAAAAAAAAAGAAAAAGAGATTAACCTTTCTTAGATCTAGGGACCTTTGTGTGCCTTCCGAGTTCACCTTGGTCGATGCTTCCCTGCAAAACACGAACACTAAGTTATAGGATTTGAAAAGATGAAGAAGAAGAAGAAGAAGCGAAAGGTAGTGTTAGTGTTACTGGTAGAAGAAATCGAAAGCTTCGTTGACAACATCATCGACGGTGTTGAGAACTTCGTTAAGGAAGAGTTGCGGATTCAGATTATGCGAATCGAAAACTGCTTCACTCTCACTCCCTTTCATTCCCGCCAAATTCCACTCTGCATTCGCCTTTCAACTCTTTTCAAAAAACACCAAAAAGCGCTTTATTATGGTGTGAATGTGACACTGACGTGCCTTACCACTAGAAAAAATAAATAAATAACCGAGAAATTCTTGCATAGCAACACAAAGTTAATGAGTTTTATATACATCACAAAAATAAATAAATAAATTAATAACACATTAACAATTTAATCATGGTTTCATCCTTGGCTTTCACGGCCGTATAGATAAAAGCAAAACACAACCTCATGTTTATTGTTTAAGCCCAAATTATCATCTTACTACATAATAAAGGAAAAAAAATACAGAATTGGTTGAACTGAATAGCTATTATCGGTGTACATTGCTTTATAAAAACTCCATGCTTGTATAAAACTCACACAACAATATGTCTATCCATATGTACTTGAAGTTTAATAGAGAAGACAATCATATTTGGACTTTGAACCTTCTTTATATAGTGATGACATGACCTACTTATGCTGCCTTAGTATGGCGATATTTGATTCTGAGTGGATTTGAGTAACTTCAACAATCTATCTCGTGTACGGAATGTCTATTTATGGCCTATGCTCTATAGGTTTAAATCATGTGTTTGTGCTTAAACTATTAGTTGTTGAGGAGGTTTAGAAACTCTGAGATATTATGTCATAGTTGTATGTATGCAGGATGATGTATACGCGAAATGAACACGTTTCCTTATTCTTTAATTCTTTTTTTATTGAGCCTTTTAGGCAACAAATGAGTTGGACCCTTTATCTTGTTTAATATATATCGAGATCAATTAATAAGGATGCTAAATCTCAATATCTATTCTCTACCGACACTTTCTGAAGCACAACATAAGAGCCATTTTTTGAGTTAATTCTCAAAACTTTATCATGGAAGGAAAATTGAGCGTTCATTTGAAAACAAGATCATTTTGAAAAATGCTTTAGTTTATAAATTTATATTTAGAATTTATTTGTAAGTGGTTGTCAATAATTGGATGACTTAATCTGTGAGAAGATAAGTAATATAATAGAATAGACTTCAGATGATTACAATTGAATTACAAACTCATTGACGGGGTTATGAAATTTTATTCCCTCAATGCACTACTTTGATCAAATATAATAAAAAAAAGGCCAACCAAAATTAAGTACAGAAAACAATAAAATTTATACAAACAAGGAGCTTGCTAACTATATGACAAACTAATCCGTGATTATAGAATGGCATTCAGCTAGAAACCGAAGTAACAAAAAGCATGTAGCCTATAATAAATGGCAACAAACACCATAGCTTTCTCAGAGGTTGTCGATCTGAAAATTATATCCAGCTTCAGCAAAATGAGATTTCACCAGTGCAAGAGATTTGGAGCGGTGTGAAATTTTGTTCTTTTTCTTCTTTGGGCATCTCTGCATAACTACAATGAGAGCAAATGAAATAAATAGCTTTTGCAAATTACAAATAAATACGAAACACTTCAATAGAACATGACATGAAAGAAGGGGTGAAAATACGTTTGCTCATAGCCATCAGGTTGAAAACACTTCAATATATGGACTTCAAGCCTTTTTTGTATAGTGTTTACGTGACCTATTTATACTACCTTAGTATAAGGATATTTAATCTTATGAGTGGATTGGAGTGATTTCAACAATTTATCTCGTGTGCAGAATGTCTATTTTATGGCCTATGTTCTACAAGTCTAAATCATGTGTATGTCCTTCAACCATTAATTGTTGAGGAGATTTAAGAACTCTGAGATGTTATTGTTATAATTGTATGTATGCAAGATGATGTATATGCAAAATGAACACGTTTCCTTATTCTTTAAATCTTTTTTATTGGGCCTTTTAGGCCACAAATGAGTTAGACCCTTTATCCCGTTTAATATGGGTGCAGATCAATTAATAAGGAAACTGATGAATAGAAAATCTCAATATCTATTCTTCTTGGCCCCACCATTCTCTGGATCATTCTCTACCAACACTTTCTGAAGCATAACATATGAGCCATTTTTTGAGTTAATTGTCAAAACTTTATCATGGAAGGAAAATTGGATGTTCATTTGAAAACAAGATCATTTTGGACAATGCTTTACTTTATAAATTTATATTTAGAATTTATTTGTAAGTGGTTGTCATTAAATGACTTAATTTATGAGAAGATAAATAATATAATAGAATAGACTTCGGATGATTACAATTGAATTACAAACTCATTGACGGGGTTATGAAATTTTATTCCATCAATGCGTTACTTTTATCAAATATAATAACAAAAAGGCCAACCAAAATTAAGTACAGAAAACAATAAAATTTATACAAAAAAGGAGCTTGTTAACTATATCACAAACTAATCAGTGATTATAGAACATGTAACCATTTATTTATTTAATCTTATTTTGGCTAATCACAACTTGGTAAACAACAACTTCTATAAACTTTTAAGGTTAGCCTCTTTTTTTATTAGAGGGGGAGTGTGTTTATATCTGCCTATATGTTTTATATGACTTCTACATTGCTAAAAACAGTTTCCTTTTAAGTTCAGAGAATATTAAATCTACCACCAAACAAGTCGATAAACAGATAAAAGATTGTTCTAACTTAACTAATAGTTTCAAGTTCGAATCCCTCATAACACAAATGCATTGAAACTTGATAAGGAAAGTTTTATCACCTATATGATCCTATTCAGCTCAAATCAAACTAATCGAATAGTTGACGAACCAATGAATAATATAAAAAAGAACGGATAATATAAAAAAGAGAATGTTAAATCTTCTATTTTCAAATCAAACCTTTTCAATTTGGAAGACTACGAAACAAAATAAAAAAGAGAATGTTAAATCTTCTATTTTCAAATCAAATATTTTCCATTTGGAAGACTGAAACAATGGCATTCAGCCAGAAACCGAAGTAACAAAAAGCATGTAGCCTATAACAAATGGCAACAAACACCAGCTTTCTCAGAGGTTGTCGATCTGAAAAGTATATCCAACTTCAGCAAAATGAGATTTCACCAGTGCAAGAGATTTGGAGCGGTGTGAAATTTTGTTCTTTTCTTCTTTGGGCATCTCTGCATAACTACAATGAGAGTAAATGAAATAAATATTTTTTGCAAATTACAAATAACTATTAAACACTTGAGTAGAACATGTCATGAAAGGAGGGGTGAAAATACGTTTGCTCATAGCCATCAGGTTGAAAAATCGGATCCCATCCAAAATCATTGGGTCCTCTTGGAGGAACAATCTTTCCCTAACATAGAAAATGTGTTAGTCATACACATTAACTGCTTTCTATTACATCAAGTGCATATTAGGTGTGTGAATTGATCAAAACACTTCAAATTTTCAACATATTATAAACACGTTTTTATAAGTGGAACCACATAATTATTATATTATTATAGACAATCTCTTAAAATTTACTCATGTATGTAACTTCATGAAATATGGAGATTCATATAATTTCACACTCAATTTCAATAGGCAATTCAAAGAACATATATGCACACATAATTATGTTTGGCAAACAGCATACAGGGGTTTAAAGAGATACCAGTGTTTTTCCAGAAAATGTGATAGGTTCACTATCCGCACCAAGTGCAAAGGAAAATACACATAAGGCATACGCTGATTTATCATCATATGCCATCAATAAATTGTTGAGACCTGGAAAATGAATCAGAGGAATGAGTAAATGAAATTCTGAGAGATATCCTGAAACCATAGTACTAAAAAAATTCAAAAGTAATCCAAAATTATGCAGTTAAGGTACAACCTTCATGACCAATCTTCTGTAGAAACCATTTGCTGCATGATTTATCAAAACAATTAGACAATTAACATCAGGAGTACGTACAAAATCATGTTGCACCCTAATACTAATAAGGAATTTAAAAAAATCTCACGTGCTGATGCATCAGAAACTAGTATTTGTATTAACATATATGCATTTAGCTAGAAAGAATTCAGATGGAGATGAAAAATATACTGATAACTGAAAAAAAAAAAAAAAAAAAAAAGGAGAGAATATATCATGTCTAGCTCATAAAAAATAAGATATTTATAAGAATTTAATTTATAATAATTGTAGAAACTTCAGAATACCGTGAGGAACATAAATAAAAAGGGATCATGAAACAAACTAATTTTTAAGCTTGTATAAATTATGATATTGTAGAAACAAAAAATTGTGATAAATCTTTCCCAGAAAACTATGATTAAAATAGTAAATATCCTACTACATTGAAAAATTACTTCGAAGAAATCTCAAACCCAAAATAAAGGCCTAAAATAATTGAAGAAAACTGCAAACCACAGTGATTATATAACTAAAACCAGCTGGTTTGGAAATAAACTTAGAAGTGGATGATTCAAAGCCATGCTACAAGCCTCTCTTTGTACGCTTGTTACTGCTTTTGCATGAAATAAAACCTCCTGCATGCAGCAATTAATACCTTGTGATACAGGCCCTCCCACGAAGGTGTATGATAAGACCCAGATCGACACGGGGAAAATAATACAGAAACGGGTATTAATCTTCTCCAAAACAGTAATATCCAAATCTAATTACATGTTGAAGGATACAGATGAAAGAGGAATACACTGGACAGATTACAGAATTACAGACTTAGACTCGACTAAAAGTAACAACACAAAGGAAATGACTACAACTCTGATTATTTCTCGGGACAATTCGAGAAGTCCTGATTTTTCCCAAATTCCCAATCTATTTCATAGTTCCAACCCCCTAATCTTGCTTTCCTCCTCTTTATTTATATGACTTTGCTATTGACATCACGCTTTTGGTCATTCCCCCAAACAGATTTCTCTTACCGTTTTGCAGCTGAGTCAGCATTGGTGATTTGTCCAACTTAACCCTAAACTTCTTTCGAGAATAAACTTTAAGGGGTGGAGATGTATCAATGCTTCTGGTCCATATTTGTGAAGAAATGGCAGCCATGAGAGGAATCAGCAATTCAAAGCTCAATGAAATGTTGATAAAATTAGTGAAGGTTTTAGATGAGGCAATCAAGAAGATGGAGACATCGAGATTTGAAATCAAGAAGCACAATGCTAATAATCAGTCAAAGAAGAATCAAGAAGAGGCAGAGGCAGGGATGAGATTAAAAATCCTGAAGAAGATGAAGAAGGTATTCGGTCAAAAAAACAAATTGAAGAAGAAAAAAAGGAAACAAAGAAAAAGAAACAGAAAGAAGTGCAGAAGACGAAGGAGAAGGAGGAAGAAACAAGGAAGAAGCAGAAGAAATTGGAGAAGAAGAAAAAAGAAGGAAAAGTGCAAGAAGAAGGAGAAGACAACGATGACGAAGAAGGAGCAGAAGAAATTGAAGAAGAAGAAGATAGGTGATCAAAAGTCCAAGGTGAAACGGGGTAGCCACATGCTACCATGTGCCACCACAAAAACAAAGACGATGTGGCTGTGAACGCTGGGTCTTAGACAAAAAGGACCGTTGTGGGGAGGCGATTCGAACAGTGGGAGTATCGATCGAAAAGTTGCCAAAAAATTCTCCGGCACAGTGGTCAAAAGCGAACAGCAGCAGTGACTCACCGGAGACGTGGCTGAAGATGATCTTGGACGGTTGCCGAAGGTTGGGACGGTGTCCGGGGACAAAGACTAGTGTCGGAGGGACATCCCAGACAGAGATATTGTAAACTGAAAGGATGACATGGTTTCCAAAAAAAAAAGTTGTCATTGATAGGTAGTGGGCCACCGAGTAAGCACAAATTAGGGTTGTTTCTCGTCAGGCTCTTGATACCATGTTAAGACAGACGAAAACGAAGACATATAATGTAATCCGCGTAATAAAGATACATAGCGATGACACTAATATATAAGGGTTTTATTAGTCTCATTTAACATAAGATATATATCTTATGTTGTAGAGAGAAAGTAGGTGGGTCCCACCATTACAAGAAAAAAGAAAAAGGTGGGATACGGAAATCGAAGTGAGAGAAAATAAGAGATGATATCTCATGTGAAAGGTGAGTAATATTTCCCAATATATAAGTGAATAAAGAGTTATAGTTTTCTCATGTAGTAGGAGATAACTATTATCTCCTACAGACTCATTTATGCAGGTGGGGTCCACTTTCAGAGGGAGAGAAAAAAAAAGTAGAGTGGAACCCATCTTGAATTTGTGTGTGTTGGAGATAAATTCTTTCTTATGTAACATAAGAATAATAAATCCCTTGAATAAAAGAGGTTACATAGGAATAATACGTGATGTGGGACTTCATCCTTCACACTAAACTATTTTATTACAACACTTTCAACAGTTTATAATTGCACATACACTTCGCATATGTTTCACAATACAAAGAGACGATGTCCACTTAAATGAATTCATATTTTGGATCTTTAGACCCAACTTTGCACCTTTGTGTTGTTACCAAAGAGACGATGTCCACTTAAAATTGTCCAAATCCTTCCAAACAATATGCACTTGAATCACTACAACCACTAAACTTTTTCATTCTCCATTCTCTCTCTTCTATATGTTTTACGAACATGACCTTTCCTTCTCTCTATATTATTGTATTTACTCAAAATCTATTAGATGCAAACAATATCTTTCATCCTCCACTTTGTCGTTTGTTCATTTTACTGTGAGAAATCCTTACAAGTCAAGCCAAGCAAATATTCTTGGACCTAGAGGGAACTGATCATAACAAACCAAGATGCTAGGCCTAAAGGCAACTAGTGAATGGTTAACCAGATATATGAATTGATGGAGGAGCAAGCATACCAGTATGGATAATATATTAAAAAGGTTGGAGTGCTGGCTCCAATTGAGGGAAAACTGATGGAAAATTGCTTAAGGTGGTTTGGGAATATAAATTGATGGCTTATATGTGTCTTGGAAATAAGTAGGATTACAGCCAATATCCCTTTAGAGTACAGGGTAGAGGTAAATCCACAAAAAAAAGGTGGGAAGCTACTAAGAAGGATTTAGAGTGCATGGGGTTCCATGAATCTATAATTAAGGATCAGGCACAACGGCAATCTAGAATCCATGTAGTGAACCTACTTATTGGAAACAAGGATTTGGTTTTGAAATTATGTTCTTGTACATAGCCCTTATTTGTATTTATTTTTTTTTTATATTCCCAATTTTCTACAACACAAATAAAAAAAGAGCATAGTATGAATTGTTTTTAACTCTTCAAGTTCAATGTCAGATAAAAAATATTCAATAGCTCCATTGAAAGACACTATCGAACACATGAGAAAGACCACTTAGAATCAGAAGGAAGAAGACAATTGAAAGAAAACTGAGTTAGAAAGGGAAAAGGGATCAGGAGAAACAAGATTAGTCCTACCAAACAACAATCACACAAATATTGTACTACTGTAAATAAGAAGATTTCAAATAATGCCAAAGGAAAAATTCAACTTGCCAATACGTTCAGCCATTTTTGAGTTTGTTCGTAAAAACCACTTCCTCAACATTGAATTTAGACCTGTCTTGAGGACTAAAGTTCTAAGGGCCAGACGTATCATTTCCTAAGTTCCTAACTATCAAGAGGATCTATAAGGTCATGATCAAATCAGAATAAATGAGTCCTACACTACCAAGAGATATAAAGATGAATGAGCCAAACATCAATCTGTAATGTACAAAGATTTCCCTCACCTTGACAAAGCATTGGTATGACCAAGACACAAATTTGTTATTATTAAATATTAAAAAAATTAGTCAAATTTTTTACATGAACAGAGCTAGATTTCCCAGTCTGCATCATTTCTGATGGAGAGAAAACCCCATCAAAAAGTTATTAATTGACCTACTTCTACCCTCTGTTAGAGAAAAACGAGATGAATACAAATAGGAATGACTAACACAACGTTGTTACTTGTTAGTCTCCGTGTATATATTTATACTGAAAAATAAGAACCGCTACAAGAAAGATGGGAACAGCCTAATAATTCAAAATAAGCTATTAAATACATATATAAGTAACTATTCTCTAACACCATCAATTTCCTACCATATTTTCAACCAGTTTTGAGAAATCATATGTTTCTTGTTCTTTTCTTTACCATAGTATTATGCTCATAAACTACAATATAAAATGAATAACACTTTCATGAGGCCTTAAACTATTATGATAAAACGGGAAATGAATTCATAAAGTTCACCTGAGTCCGATGATTAAGGGTGAAAGAGAACTTACATATAAGGCCCTGTAAAATTTTGAAACATTCAATCAAAACCAGTGTCAAAGCTTTATAATGGCATCTTTCCTGGCATGAACAATAAGAAAATTATATCTACCCGGAAGACCCTTCAAGGCATTGAAACAGAGGCAAGTGTCTTCAACCAACACAGGTCCATGAACCTTGCCAAACATAAAAAGTATCATAAAGGTTAAAAAAGAGAAAAACAGTAAACCAACCTAATATCATACAAGCCTAGGCATATATGAGAAAAAGAGAGTAATTAAGTACCTGAGCAGCAGCCAACCGAGCCTTCTCTTTGGAGATATCTTCAGGCTCTCCTTGCAACTCTGGCACTGCAAAAAAAAATAAAAAATAAAAAGGAAGAATGAGGCAAGTAATAATTTCCAAAAATTGAAATTCTTGATCAATGGAGGACCAATATCACCATTTTTGTTCAATAACGAAGTAAATGATTGACTCATTCCATACTATCAAAAGAATCGCACCAAGTCTCTTAATAACACGAATTCCTATTTCTCAATTATATCCCACGACCAAGACAATTGGTCGAATCCAGTGAAACCATTTCATAGAAGTTCATTAATATCATCTTTTTATAAAAGCAAATCGATATCACTCCTGCTTCTATTATAACAAAAGATTACCTTTTATGTGGAAAAGGCATGTATCAATACTTATGAATTTACAAATGGACAATTCCTTGATATCGTGTTAACTATTCAAGTGGAAGAAAACATACAAAAAGTAAACAAATTAAAAAAAAAAAAAAAAAGATGGAAGGAAAAGGTGATATTACAGTCAAGTTTGAGGGACTGAAAAGGGATAGAGTGGCCCAAAATGGCACGAACTTCTTCAAGCTTTTTGGCATTGCCAGTGACAAAAGTAACTGGACGTGACAGTACCAACCCTGAAGCAGTGACTCTTGCACCAGCCATTTACCAATTCTTCTTTGGTTTTTCTGAAGTAAATAAAACCTATCAGTGACAAAATCAGAGACCCATTAAAAATAAATAAATATTTTTATTTTTATTTCTAGGCATGTCAAACATGAACTTGAATTCAACCCTATCAGTGGATACAAACACAATATAATCACTCACACACACACACAAGAAAAAAACATTGGAGAAAATCAACTTGCACAACAACACATAGGTACCCTTTAGAGAACAAAGGAGTGAATAGAGAACCACATACGATAAAACCCAATGAAACGAGCGCTTACTTCTATGGCGGCAGTGCTGCGTGTGATGTGAACAACTAAAGAACGCTCTCACTACAGTCTCAAATTTCTCATTAAATTTCTCTTTCTATGGCGGCAGTGCTGCGTGTGATGTGGTTTTTGTGTTGAGCAGAGCTTGTTTCGTGATACGCGCTGTAAAGTTGGAACCTTTACCTTGTCCCTAACCACCTGTATTCATGGTCACTCTCCTTCATGCCTCCATAACATGTTTTAATATTAAATAATATATAATATATATTTTATTTAATATTTAATAATTTTAATAAAAATAAACTAAACTAGTAATGGCAAAAAAAATTAATTTATTACTTTTTTAATAAAAAATTACGAAAATGTAGTTATTTTAAAATTATTTACAAAAATATAGTACTCAAACACGTCCACATGGGGCGTGTTATAATGGAGAGAGACACGCTCATGTGGGGCGTGATCTACAAAGCAAACACGCTCTAGATGAGCGTGACCAGGAGAGAGACATGCCCAACAGGGGCGTGACCTCCGTGGTCTATATATACTCCATTTTTCACATTTTCCTCGTTTCATCCCTCACTTCCTCTTTCTAAATCACTCCTTCAACTTCTCTCTCCATTTCTTCTGGAGCGTTTTGCGCAGCGAAGCTCTATCTCGTAAGTCCTTATTTATTGTTTTTATTTTTTATTATTTCAATAAATATATGATAGTTATTAATGACTTAAATAATTGTTAGTACCTTAGAAAAATATTAGTTACCTATGTAAGATAATGATTAGTGACTTAGGAATTAGACAGGGACTTAGAAATTAGTTAGTTACTTATAATTTGGTATATGCTGGTAATAGGAATTAGTTACAGACTTAGAAATTAGTTAGAGACTTACAGATTAGTTAGAGACAATTAATAATTTTATAGGAATGACAAGTATGAAGATATTGACCTTTGAAATAACTACATTGTAATTAAAGTTTGTAAAAAAATAATAGAGTACGCAATATTAATTTAAATTGATTTTAAATTATTTAATGTATTTAAATATAATTTAGAATAATGTAATGTTCTTTAATTTAGTTTTATTGACGTTATTTTAATTGAAATTAATTCTATTCTATTCTATTTAATAAAGTGCAATTAAATTTCATTTAGTGTAATTTAATATAATATCAGTAGTAATTTGTGTTTAATTTTGTCATATGTACTAGTATTCTATTATGGCCCATTCGTCTTCGTCAGAGTCGCCGCGCTCTGGATCCGATGGTGATGCCGAGCCTTCCGATCCTTGTACGCATGTACTTCCTAGACCGTGTAGATAGGAGATACTTCGTAAGAGGACACAGCGCACTCACGTTTCACAGCTTGTGTGAACGAGGATAAGGTAAGGGGGTTAAAGACTCGACGCGGGAAACTACAGGATGGACCCCGTCATGATGATGTTCCAAACATCGTGTCTGACTATCTGACACAGGCTGGTTTCATACATGTGGCACGTATGAGTCATATTCAGGTATGTTATTTATAAATTACTTAATGAAATTACCATTAATAGACTTTCTATAATTGTTGTTTGTCTTTCAGATCGATATCGCCCTGATCAGTGCTTTGGTTGAGCGGTGGAGACCAGAGACACATACGTTTCACATGACGCAGGGAAAGATGACAATCACATTACAGGATGTGGCTGGTATACTTGGTTTGCCTACTGACGAGCAGGCAGTTACGGACCTACAACGTTGGATTGGACCGCAGTGTGTCAGCATGTTTTTGGGACTGCACCTGTTGCAGGCACAGACATTCACGGTGGCGATTTACGTATTTCATACGTAGATAAATTATATCCTGATTGGGGCCTAGTTGCACACGATCCTGATGAGGTGAGGCGTTACACCCGGGCACACATTTTTCGGCATTAGGCTCATGGCTACTGTGTGACAGATCGGGTGGAAGCAAAATTGCGTGTCGTTACGTTCCACTGCTAGGAGGGGACTTTCAGGACATTGGCAGATACAATTGGGGGTTTGCGGTTCTCGCCCATCTGTTTAGACAGTTATGCATGTCCACAAACCCGCAGATTAGTACTATAGGCGGTTGCCACGTATTACTCCAGATATGGGCTTGGATTAGATTCCCCCTCATTGCTCCACCTCTTCCGCAGCCTACCCACCCCGACTGGCATTTCGGTCACAGGTATATCTTCTTTGTAATTGTTAAATTTGCTTTCACCGATATATGATTCATTACATGTTCATTTGCTGCATGAGTAACGAAATTTCTTAAATTTTTCTTACAGGTTTAATTCTCTAGCTCCCTTCCGGCCACATGAGCAGTCTTGGTATCGGGCAAACCTTGACATGCTTTATAGAGACGAGGTTTGTTAAATATTTAGTAATGGCAAATTATATTGTTACATCTTTTAGTTTTTACTAATTGTGTACCTGTTTATCTTTTTTTTGTATGTAGGTTGTGTGGCAGCCATACGGAGAGTACCATACAACATTGTCAGTGTCTGATCATGAGCTGTACTTATGGTTGGCCATTATTCCTATTATTTGCTTCCACACAGTTGAGTACTGTCAGCCAGATAGATGTATGCGACAGTTTGGTTTCGATCAGCCCATACCACGCAGACCAAGAAAGCTGAAGGGTGTTCATGATACAACTCTTCGAGGAAAGAAATATGATAATTGGGAACGTAAATTGCTGCCCTTCATACATCGATGGACGATCAGGGATACCTCCATACGTGTTCCCCTTGTATTGGTCGGGTTGATGTCCTCAAACCATGAGTACCTCCACTAGTACAGGCAGCGAGGGAAACGGTTCATCGCGAGGAGGGCTGCGAGGGTTAGATGAGCAGTAAGTATTTAAACGCAAATTTTGAATGTTATTATCATTGCTAAATTACTCACTAACAAATGTCGTATTGTGACTTTTTAGATCGATGGGTTGGAGATGCTTTATTTTGCGACTACTGTGGATCAGTTTCCCAGCTTCGGCTTACAGTGGGTCCATGAGGAGATTGGACGCATTATTTCCATCTTCAGAGAGTCAACACGTGTAGAGGAGCGAGGTCCAGAGGCTCCACCTACGCAGACCGTTGAGGAGCCGATGTTGACCATTGAGGTCCCTAGTGGCAGGCAGGAAGGACGCGGTTTAGGACGACAACGGGAACCTGTGCGAGCTATACCCGAGCCTATTATTGCTCCTAGACCGTGCACAGATATGCAGAGATGGTTTAGACCGCCAGTGTTGAGCCAAGCAGGTGGCCCGCAGCCTATATACCATGATCTTCCTTCGCATCAGTATTATACTAGCCAGCCAGGTACATCGTATGCATCGAGCTACACACAGAGTGAGCATGTCTATCAGGCTAGCCCCATGGCATGCGCATCAGGTGGGGTCCCGGTCACTCATCCATCGACCAGCAGTACAGAGTACCAGGAGTGGACCGACGCAGACGTAGAGGCATGGTGCCGGGAGATTGATTTGAGCACAGATGGTTGTGGCAATTGGCCTGCACACATGTCTGAGGCTCCTCCACCTTCACACCATGTTTCTGATGCCCCTGTGTCATCGACTTCGTTTCACATGCAGCTAGTTACTGCACAACATGATTTTATACCATCCTCGAGCAGTGACTTTATTCAGTCAGGCCCTGGCATGTCTTACACTACTCCACCAGCTCATGTTCCCGAGGTGGTTGATGACCCAGACCCCGCTCCAGACGGATTTGCACAAGCTGTAGAGGCTCGGAGTAGACGTCGATTACCCCCACGTCAGGCACGTGATAGGCCATGGCCTCGATGGTCGTAGTTACTTTGACACATGTTTTTTTGGGTTTCACTGTTTATGGACTATTTTTTTTTTGGACTTTTGTATTATGGACTGTATTTTGGGACTATTGTATTATGGACTGTATTTTGGGTTTATCGTATTATGTACTGTATTTTTTGGACTGTCCATTATTATGGCCAGTTATTGTTAGTACTATCTTTATGTCCAGTTAGTATGTCGTTTGCATTCTGATTGTGATGTTAGTGCAAGAATACATAACAAGTTACAATTACGCTTAGGTTAAAAAACACGAATGAAACATTTTAATTCGCATAGTAATAGATCATAAGTGATAAAGACATACATTGTGTATCACGCATTATTTCCACGATTAGGACACGACCTACGATTAGAGGTGGCAAAGTGGGTAGCCCGCCCCGCCCCGCTTTTGAAAGTGGGCTGAAAAACTCAGCCTGCCCCGCCCCGTTTGGCGGGTTGGCCCGCCAACCCGAGCCTATTTTACACTGACCCGCCTATGCCCGCCATCAACCCGCCAAAAAATGAGCCCCCCCCGCTTTTGAGATGGGTTGAAAAACTCAGCCCGCCCCGTTTGGCGGGTTGGCCCGCCGAGCCGAGCCCGTTTTTCCGGCTCTACCTACGATTGTGCCCATTTTGCTTACAAAGACCACATAACCTGCATGATGGAATCGTTTCAACCTCATCCATCTCGTTCCGTATTATTGTAGACTTTGGACAGCCTTTTGCACGTAACATATTTGTATCTGGTATGACCACAGGAACTGCATTGGGTGGAATTGCTTGCTCATTGCCAATTGGCTCCCATGGAAATGAGTACGCGCTGACCAATTTTGAAGTCTTGAAAACATCATATATATATATATATATATATATATATATATATATATTGCCGGGACGAATGTATAAAGTTGTAGCAACGACGTGACTATATGGATATTTAAATGCTTTAAATTGTCCACATTGGCATGTCCGAGTAGTAAGGTTATCAGAATACGACTTTTCCCACCCTGCATCAACCTCAAATACAGTTTCATCAACATTATATGTACGCACATTATGCATTGTTTCCACGGATTCATTATGTGTCAATGATTCAATCACATTTTTGCAATAAGTATGACCAGATAAAACTTGTCTAGAAGCCGATTGACCTCTTTCCACGCAATATTGGACCAATCTACTATATGTAAATTTTACTAGTCCAGTAATGGGCATGTTTCTTGCCCCCTTTAACACCCTGTTTATGGATTCTGATAGGTTTGTTGTCATATGCCCATATCTTCGTCCCTCAATGTCATGTGCGCGCGACCACTTTTCCTTTGGGATGACATCAATCCAATCCACAACCTGAGTGCTTGTGTCACGAAATCGTGCAAGCGCTCTCTCAAAATCCACCATGCAAGGAGTATATCCTGCCAACAATAAAACCAATAACACAATTGTCGATTAACCGAAAAATACATGTCGAAAATGATGAATCTGGTTGTGCAACATACCTATATTCATCAGGGCCGCCTTCAGCTTTTCATTTCTAAACCGTTGATTAAAATTTGATGCAATATGTCGAATGCAATACACATGAAACACATGCGGAGGCAGCCAAGCAGGATTATTCTCTACAGCCGATAATATGCTAGCATGCCTATATGAAAGTAGACATATATTTTGCGCTTGTGTAACGTGCAGACGAAGATTGGCAAGGGAGTATGACCAAGCCTCCAATGTCTCACCCTCGACAATGGCAAATGCAAGTGGCAGACATTCATTATTACCATCCTGAGCCATGACAATCAACAACTTTCCCTTGTATTTTTTGTATAGATGAGTGCCATCAATTTGTATCATTGGTTTGCAAAAATTAAATGCCTCACAACATTGTCTGAAAGTCCAGAAACAACAAAGAAATACACGTCTTCCCGGGACCATGTTGCCCCCCAACAAAACAATCCTTTGTTTGAATATTATAAAAGGAACCTAGTGAAAAACGAAGCATATATTCACACCACCTGGGTAAATATGCATATGATTCCTCCCAATCACCATACAACATTGTCATTGCTTTCTGCTTCGCATACCATGCCTTTCTATATGAAACTTTGAAACCATAAGAATGAGTTATCCTCTCCTGGACCAACGCAATTGACACTGATGGTTCCTTTTTTATCATCTCTGACAAACAAAAGCCAGATATATACATTAACAGAACTACAGGTATGTCAAACAATTTTTAAATATAGCATAATACTTTGAAATAACGTACCTACTACAAGTGATGCAATCACGTCAGAATCAAGTTGTCTATGATCTTGAGAAATATGGTCATTCAAGCAATTGTGATCCCCACCCCATTTCGTTACCTTCCAATTTTCAACATACGTTGGTTTAATTACCCTGATCCTCCATGGGCAACCTTGGACATGCGCACAACATTTCATGCTTAACTTTGTGGGCGTGCTCTCAACCACAATTGCTTCTTGATGCTCCTTCATGAGGTTGCGCTTGATTGCCATCTGAGCCTCTTTTTTGGATGTAAATTGCTGGTTAACAAACAACTTTTCCCCCAATTGCCATGGACCTTGGATTGAACCCGAACTCTGCGTACATGATTGTGCCTCACTCGGATGATCCCAATCAATATATGTGTAATGTGGAATTTCAGACCAAAAGGAGCAATAGGTACATCGCCTGCATGTACTACGTAATAATAATAATAAATTGGAATTAATTACATCAACAAAATCGCACCACACAAACATGAATAGTTTTTACATAGCATACCTTCAGGATGTTCTGGTACTTGACTCGATGTTGAGTTATGATGTACAACGATACGAGACTCCCCCAAATCATGCCATGGCTGAATTTGAGTACCCGACCTGCCACATTCTTCGTCATTGTCCGATGCACTCGCATCCTCTGCAAGAAGACAATCCTCCATTTCGATATTTTCCTCATCATCATCCTCATAGTCCTCATCCATAACCCAGGTAGGGTCATGTTCATCTTCCTCAGACATGTTAACAGTTGGAGCAGCAGATGAGGATGCATTAAAAGGAGAATTAGAAGTAACTGACCTCATTGGTATCACAACATCCTCTGCGGTGCAGTATCCACATACAACTCTAAGAAATCCTTTCTAGACTGGTTCAAGAACTCTTCCATTACCATATCGATGTCTTCGTCATCGACCACTTGCAAACTAATGTATTGTTCACATTGTCATAATCTTGTCGTGACTAGAGTGATCGATTGGTTGTCTTTAAGACATAATTCTTGGCGTATTTTCTGATGCAGCTCCGCAACCGTTGAGTTCCGCTTAATACGTGATGACCTTTTCTCCCCTACAAAAACAACACCACGACGACCTTCCTCTTTCCTACCGTTATAATATAGAACAACACGAATAGATTCAGAATTCGAACTCATTCTTAAAAATAAAAAAGAATAACATAAAATGAAATATGAGTAAACAAGTGCAAAATATGAATAGACACGAGCAAATGAATGTGGGAGTTTAAGAATAATGAGAGAGAAGAGTTGTGAAGAGTGTATAGAGGGTGGGTGTATAAATAGGCTGCAGTTGGGTCACTCACGCCCTGATTGGGCATAAGCTTATGCTGGAACACGCCCAATGTAGGCGTGTCTCCCTCATAGGTCACGCCCTACATGGGCGTGTCTCTCTCCTCTTGGTCATGCCCAACATAGGCGTGTTTGCCCTGTAGGTCACGCCCCACATGGGCGTGTCTCTCTCCATTGGAACACGCCCCATGTGGGCGTGTTTGAGTGTTATATTTGCGTAAATAATTTCAAAACGACTATATTTTCGTAATTTTTTATTAAAAAAAGCAATAAATTAATTTTTTTGCCAACTAGTAATACCTATCAAGTGTTTTGAAAAAAAAAATTTATTATTGTATGGTCAGTCACCAGACAAATCCAATTCCGAAAATTATAATAATAATGAAAATGAAGTAAATTCCAATTGCTAAATATTGATGAGAAAGTATAAAGCTGTAACCTTTGACACGCTTAAGCACTTTTGTGATAGAATTCTCCTGCTAACCCTTTTGCCAAGGTGGTACAATAATACAATTAATCCAAGTGCAGCTGTAAATCAAGTTTCTATATTTAAAAATGTCTTTCACAATTGAATTTTTTGATTGATGTTGTTGGCAGGTGACTAAGAGAGTGGAAACAGCTGAAACCGAGTGGAAGGGTTGGAATTGGAGATCAGAGGGAGATTTATGAATGAAACATCAGGTGCTGGAGCTTCAGCAAGATATGCCAGAGCCTCTAGCTTAGGAGCTAAATCTTCTTCCATGGTTGGTTCCATGACTTGTAAAGCATAGCATAGCATATGATCAATGAAACAACCATCTTTTTTCTTCTTTTTGTGTTTGATTTTCAGTTTTACCATATTATAGTAGCATCTAAGTATCATATCCATTGGTTTCCTCACACATCACCATCATGCATTCTTGACAAGTGTACATTAATTACACATGTCAATATGTTATATGTTACCCATTTTCCCATCCACATTGTGTGTTATTTTTGTTGGTCAACCTCAGTTGCTCGACTGCTCCAGCTGAAACAAAACAATACCATTGTAGGAGCAGGTGCTTGTTTTCATTTCTCTTCTTTGGTCCTTTCCAGCTCATTTCATCAACCTTACCCACCAATTCTCATATATATTTTTCCCAATGTCAAATCATGTCTCCTTACGTACTGTTCAGTCTTTCGCAGTTTTATAGGATTTGAATGAGCTGAGATATATATTTATAAATTTTCTCTTACTTCACTTTTGCTATTTTTTTACTCTTTGTTTTGTTGAGTTAATTATACAAGCAAAAGCATGATTGTCAAAGTTGAGTTATGGAAACACTTTATCAATAGCAGTGGTATTCCTTTTTAACTTTCTCACCTTTCAGCCTTTTTCTTTGTCAATGGACGTAATCTTTGCTTTTAATCTTTTGTTATGCAATTATGGTTGTATATCATTAAACATATCTGCCAGTGTTCGTTTCTCTACCAACATGTGTGATTACTCCGTCATTCTCTTCCCTTTTAAAAAAAATGATGTAGTGCTAACCAGTGATTAATTTGAGATTTCCCCGGCTTTTATTTGATCATGGTTGAAAATTATGGACAAGACGTGATGATTTCAAGTATCTTTTTGCAGTAACATTTGTATCCGAACTTTTCAAAACTGCACTTCACAAAAGCGTGTCCTCTAAAGGGCATGCCTGTGTAACAATTAAAGTCTCCAAGGTTACGGGTCTCCAAGAAAGTAGTATTAATTGGCAAGGTACCCTCTAAAGGGCATGCTTTTGTAACAATTAAGGTGAATCTTTTAAAGGTCGAGCGTTTTTATAATAAGATTACAAGAAAGTAGAACTAATGAACATTGAACAACTCGTAAAAATATTTTAACTCGTGATCCCATCTTAATATTCGCACAAGTCAATTTCATCTACTAACAACCATCGACCTTTCTTCACAGTCCACCCCTGCATTTGCTCTTCCATTGGCATAAAGGCATTTGATTGGGACCAGCTTTCTATTATTTATCGACATATATATTCTATCAATTGTTTCACCTTGTTCCTGCTTCTTACAATATATTTGGACTAAATTTCTCAAAAAAAGCATATACTCAAGTCCTTCTTTTCTCAATTCATCATCTTGGGAGCATAAAATAAGATCATACCATACACATATTTTGCTTACTTGTGACCCTTTTCATGAGCAGCAATCTTTAGGCTTCCAAGACCACTCTCATTGGCATAACTAAAATATTCTTGCAATCCTTCTGTATATAAGCTCTCCACGTTTTCACATTCCCTGCAGTGTCTCAAGAAAGACAATGCTTTCTCATTAGGACGCCACTGGATTATAACGGAAACTTGTCCAAAGTAACTCGATTCCAAACATAGTTATCTTCTGCAGCATCAAGAAAATGTCTACAACACATTTTCATATTATGAAGTTCGGTGAAAGAAAATGAGATGCTACACTTGCAACCACCTCTATTAACAAGTCTTTGGGAAGTGATTTTATGGATACAGTAGAAGAGGATCACTTTTGTTGCTTGCTCTCTTCATTATAAACCCATCACCTTTTCTACTGCATCCATAACATCACTTCCCAAAGACTTGTTAATAGAGGTGGTTGCAAGGGTAGCGTCTCATTCTTTTACCGACCTTCACAACATGAAAATGTGTTGTAGAGATTTTCTTGATGCTGCATAAGATAACTACTTTTGGAAACAAAGTTTCTTTGGACGTGCTTACGTTAATCCAATGGCGTCCTAATGGGAAAGCATTGTCCTTTTTGAAGGGCTGCAGGGAATGTGAAAATATAGAGCAGGATTGCAAGAATATTTTAGTTTGCTAATGGATCAAATGGTTTTGGAAGCTTAAAGATTGCTGCTCAAAAAGGTTATAAGGAAGCAAGATATGTGTACGGTATGAGCGTATTTTACTCCTAAGACTGATGAGTGAGAAAAGAATGACTCGGGCATATGTTATAAATAAGGGTTATATTTATATTGTAGGAAAATAGTTGTCTCATTATAAAAATGCAATATAAGATAAATACAACCCTATAAATAATATGTCCAAAGGCACATAGTATTTAATAAACCGTGATTTTAATAAATAGTGTATATTTAATATTGATAACACACGTCTGTATTAATTCAATAAATAATAAATTAGAAAATAAGCAAAAAAAATTAATGCTTGATATTTATTTTAAAAATTCTTTCTTAGCACATAAATAAAAAAAGTATTTATTTCAAGAAATAACGTGAAAGAATACAATTATTATCATGCACATCCTAATCTCTCGTCTAGCACCTTTTCTTCCTCTATGTTCACACCATTCCTGAAACCATATTGATCTACTACGTGAATATTCTATTGACAAGGGATGCCGTGGTGTTCATCAACCGAATCAAACCGATTCAAACCGCAATAACCGAATCGAAAAACCGATAACCGAATAACTCGAAAACCGAAAAATTGAAAATCGAAAAAAAACCGTAAATTTTAATTGGATTGGATCATTTTTCGGATTGAGTGATGAAAACCGATCCAATCCAAACTGATCCAATATATTAATTCTCCTCTACCTACTTGGGCCTTTCCATATCCTACAAATTTTTAAACTCAAGACCCATTAACCCATCAACTGAATCCAAGAAAAAATCTAGTCACATCTTATCAACAAAGTTTTATCTGTGTAGAGCTTCATATCTCATTGCCGAAAAAATTATATATATATATATATTATTGTTTACTAATGCTTTTATATTTCAAAAGAAAAAAAATTACAAAGTCAATATATACAAAAGATGTTATTTGCACAATAATTATGAAACAAATTTAGGAATTTCAAAAAACCGAAAACCGATCCAATCCAAACCAAAAAAAATTGGATTGGATCGGATCGGATTTGAAAAAAAATAAAACTGAATCGATGATTACATGATCAAACCGAAGGGATTGGATCGGATGATTTTTGCTCCCAAAACCGATCCAATCCAGATCGCGAACACCCCTATGCCGTATTGCAATTTCTCAAGTTGAACCGAATTTTTATAGGTATGTAATTAAAATGAAATATTTCAGAATAAAATCAATTATTATTTTATAAATTTCTAAATAAAAAGTTTTATTTAAGAATTAACTTAGTACTGATTTTATAATATTTTAAATGAAAAATTTACTTAATAATCAAAATAATTACAATTTTATAATTTTCAGACAAATAATTTTATTTATAAAATTTACTTAATAATCAAAATAATTACAATTTTATAATTTTCAGACAAATAATTTTATTTATAAAATTTACTTAATAATCAAAATAATTACAATTTTATAATTTTCAGACAAATAATTTTATTTATAAAATTTACTTAATAATCAAAATAATTACAATTTTATAATTTTCAGACAAATAATTTTATTTATAAATTAAATCAATATTTTGTTCTAAACATAGTAGATAGATTCTGCTACGTGCTTTCATGCAAGCGCATGGAACGAAGCAGAGTTTGTGTCAAGACACGAGAGAAAGCTAGTTGAGGAGCAAGTTTCAAACATGTACGGTTCTGCAATAAAACTGCCAAAGCGACTATCTACATCCTATAATTATAGCAACATCACATTTTCATTATGCAGGTTGCACAATTGTTCATTGTTCATATATATCAATCCAAAATTGTAACAAACTATGAACGTTTCTGACTGGTGGGTCTTGCTTAGCTGTGTGCTCTTTTCACGAGTTTGTTGGCCCCATAAACTTCCCCTGGCTCTCTCACGTTTCCACCTAGTAAACGAGGAAACCGAGTGAGCATAGGAGATTCCAAAAAAGAAAAAATGTTGCATTGCAATTTGCATGTCATCTCATGTCTATAAATATTACTTAGTTCTAAGGCTTTGTGTGCCTTACATCGAATTCGAACGTTAATATTGGCAATCATGTTGAAAATTACTATGTCGACGATGGCTATCTTTGCATTAACTCTTATGTTCCTCTTGTGTTCCCCATCAGTAGCTATATTACTCAGCAGGTTACAGCTACCGTCACCACTTACAGGCCCTGAGTCCCTAGCATTTGACCGAAACGGTGGAGGGCCTTATGTAGGTGCTTCTGATGGAAGAATTTTTAAATATGTAGGTCCCGATGAAGGTTTCAAGGAATATGCTTATACTTCGCCAAACAGGTAAATGAAGAGAATGATCTATGTTTATCTATTTGTGTTTAGTCAATAAGGTGAGAAACACACATGAAAGAATCTATTCATTCTCGTGCCAGACAGGTTTATCTATTTGTGTTTAGTCTCACACACACACACTCAAAATTTTAAACCAATTACTGAGCCTTAGTTATTCGTTGGTCCAGGAACAACACAACCTGTGATGGCCTTGCTGACTTCTCAACACTCCAAGCAACATGTGGGAGGCCTTTAGGATTGGGTTTCAATCATCAGACAGGGGAACTGTATGTAGCTGATGCTTATTTTGGGCTCGTTAAGGTTGGTTCCAATGGAGGGCCTCCAACCCAAGTTGGAGTTACACAAGACAACCCTTTTCATTTTGTTGCTGGGTTGGATGTAGACCCTGACACCGGAATCGTTTATTTCACGGAAGCTAGCGCTAATTATCAGATCAAGTAATTTGTTCCTTCTTTCTTACATTGTTTTTTTCCACGTAAATGTTAGCTCTTGTAAAAACTAAAAAGATTTGCTTTCTAATGATTTCACGAGGAAAGATAAGTGTAATGTGGTACTTAATTTTTGTAGAGATATCCAGACACTGCTAAGCAGCAGAGATAGTTCAGGAAGCCTTTTCAAATATGATCCAAGCACAAACCAAACCACAGTGTTACTCAGGGGTCTTGCTCTACCATCTGGGGTGGCAGTAAGCAGAGATGGCTCATTTGTCCTTGTTAGTGAATTCTTGGCAAACAGAATTCAGAGATTCTGGGTCAAAGGGCCGAGAGCAAATTCATCAGAATTGTTCTTGCTACTTGCGGGAAGACCAGATAACATCAAGAGGAATTCCTTAGGTCAGTTTTGGGTAGCTGTGAACAGTTACTTAGGACCATCTCCACCTCCAAGACCTTCTATTTTACCTGTAGGAGTCAGAGTCAATGAGTATGGTTTGGTTTTACAGGTTGTGTCTCTGACTGAGGAGTATGGTACTGACGCAGCCAGTGAAGTTCAAGAGTTTAATGGGACACTCTACTCTGGGTCCCTGCATGCTTCCTATGCTAGCGTTTTTACGCCCTAGTTTTTCCCTCACTGCTGCCTTTGTATGGCTATGAAAAATATGAGGGGAACTCCTAAATAAATAAAGAAATTATTGATCTATACTTGGAAAACAATACTCGTGTCTATGATTGGATAGTTTCAAGAAGATAGCATAAAGCTATTTTTTTTTTTTGAACAAATGCGACCCAATTTAAAATTGAAATCCTTATGCTCTGTTCTTGTGTTTCACTAATTAAAATTATCTTTTAGATTATGTCATCAGTCAAGTGGGCAAAAGAGCCAAGTCAGGTTGCATTATTCATTGGGATTAATCTAGCAAATATGATTTATCTACTTTTTAGTGGATAGCAAATATGATTTTAGCCATGCTGCAACAAGAAATAATATAATTACGTTCTCAATTAATGGAGTAAAGACGAATTAAAGAATTAATTCCCCCGCCCCCCTAATTAGTAATGCTCACATATCCAAATATTTTACTGCAAACGTTAGACGATGACTCTGAATGATGGAACTGATCAGCAGGGTCAATTTATCAGTTAGGCAGGTTAATTCAAATTCATGAATAAAAATCCGCTCCTTAGTAATGTTATATGATAAAACTGGTGTTAAAGGAGAAATGGAAATAATAGCACACTAGTCTTTTTGCTCTGAAGCAATGGATTTTTACCAACAAGATGAAGAAGTAGTACAAACTAAAAAGGAACAACTAACTTGGCAGAAATCTAATGACAGGGACTTGTACTCTACTGACAAAAGAGAAAATTGCTCAGAGAAAACTAAAGTGCTCAGTACTATTTCGATTCCTACTGATTTCTCTCTCAATATTCAATCTCAATTCCAGCCTACGTCTATCCCACGCCAATTCAAGTGGGGTGTTTCGTTAAAGTTTTTGGAGAGGATTACTGGTAATCCTTCTTTGGTAAATGTAATTACCACATTTGGTAGAAGGAATAAATTACGATTCCCGGATATCCAAGGATTACCGGTAATTTGATTTATAAAGAAAAGTCACTATTCAGATTATCAAAAATAATATGGTAATTCGGAATACCAATCAGAATACCAAGTAAAGGGAATGCACAACAATAAATTTTGAGACAAAAATACTCCAATACACATAAAAATCTAGACCCAATCTATCAACTACAAAAGTAAAAATAGTTTGGGGTTATTTTTGTAAAATAACCTCATATTCCAAGTCATATTTCATTCTAAACCAAATATGGAATCAGTAATTTTTACCCAATATTTCCGGTAATATTTTGGCGAACCAAACACATCTTTCGTAAGATTCCAAGTAAACTCAATTTCTACTGAATTCCCATTAATCATGATTCCCGGTCACCAAAAAATTTCTCCTGTACCAAACACACCCTGTATGACTTTCAACTGACTCCCCTAGCCACCTCAGCCTGAGTTTGTCTCTCAAAAATTCCACATTATGTGTAACGGACCCAAGTGCTATAATAAGCCCAATGAAGACATCAAAGTTAAAAGGGGAAAGGGCCCGTAAGCAGCCCAAGTATCTATAGGAACTCTCAGACTAATTAAGAGCTATAATAGAACAAATGTTTTTATTATTCAGTATAGTTTGTAATGGATTAATAGGCCCAATATGTTTCGGGCATACATAGTGGTTAGGGAGAAGGAATAGATTAAGTAGAAATTGAATCATCTTCTTTCTAACTTCTTCTTCTCTCTTTACCTCTCTCCATTCTCTCACTTCTAATCCTTTTATTTATGAGATTATGGAATTTACTGCTACATTTTAGTTTTCTCGTTGCTTATTCTACCTCCCTTGCCATGGCGGAAAATATCGGTATGAGAGATGTCACCCAGCGCTTGGAGACTCTGGAACATCAAACCCAACGCCCGGATCTACTGGAGCAAAAATTACGCTCCGCTGAACTTGTTCGCGAACAACAGTTTTTGGGACTCTAAGAGTCTAATGCTCAGCTCCAAGAGTCACATGCTCAAATTCAGCAAGCCATTCAACGTCTAGTAGACGAGCACATCCACAGTGGTCACTCCCGCTTCGGTATCTTAGGTTCTGGACCAGGTTCCGCTTCAAAGTCAAATACCTCTAACCTAGACCTAGGTAAATCTCATTCCATTAAACTCCTCTTTCCACGATTTGCTACTGGTGACCCAACTTCTTGGTAATTTGCTGTAAACAAATACTATCAATATTATAACATTGGAAATGAAGACCGTTTACTTATTGTCTCCTTCCATTTGGATGACCCCGCAACTTGTTGGTTTAGGGGTCTTAGTGATGATGGTTTGCTTCCAACCTGGTCTATTTTTGTCACTATAGTACACAGAAGGTTTGGACCCTCTGAATTTGATGATCCAATTGGAGCATTGGCTAAGTTACAACAGCATGGTTCTGTAGCTGATTATCAATCCACCTTTGAGGTTGCTGCCAGCAAGGTCCCTGGGTTGTTAGCCACTATGAAACATAGTTTCGCAGACGTTGTTCAGAACTAACTCAACTCCCTACTGACTGGCATGAAGCTTTGGCTTTAGCTAAAGTCTTTGAAGATCAACATTCCGAGGAAAAACCCATACGTCTTTGGCTTGTCAAACCAGCTTTTTCCCCCAACACCGCCCCCTAACACCAGTTTGCATCACCACTTAAACCTCCCAATCCCTTAGCCCTCACTACCACCCCTCATAACAAACCAATTCCAGCTATTCCCATTCGTCGTTTATCTTAGGCTGAAATACAGGTAAAACGGGACAAAGGACTTTGTTTCAACTGTGATGAAAAGTTCACTTATGGCCACAAATGCAAAGCATGAGCTTCCCTTCTGTACTTAAAGGGCTTAGACGAGGATGTGCCTCCTGATGCCATGGATCAGCCAGTTAAACATGAGGAAACACCAGAGATAAAATTCAACGCTTTATTTGATACTTATTCCTCCAAATCATTCCCTTTAATGGGAACTATCTTGGGTCGATCCGTACAAATCCTAATTGATAGGGGGTACTCATAATTTCATTACTCGCATTTAACCTTGTTAGTTATTTCCTCGTTTAAGGTGCAAGTAGGGAAATTTGATTCCCTCACTTGCTCGGTTGTATGTCAATTCGTTCCATTAGACATTCAATGTCACAGTTTCACTATGGCTTTGTTTGTGTTGGAGTTACAAGGAGCTGATATGGTGCTAGGGGTATAATGGTTGGCCACTTTACGGCTGATTTAAACGAATTATGACAAAATGACAATAAGACTTCGACATCAAGGGGAGAAAATGTTGTTTTAAATGGTAATCAATATATTGCAACACAATCTCCTTCACAGTTTTTAGTCAACATGCCTCTTCCTCCAGCTGTCCAAAACTTACTCGATCAGTATCCAGATGTATTTGCAATCCTATACTCCTTGCCACCTGATAGACCCACAAATAAATGCCTCCTATTGTTCCCTGATACAAAGCATGTGCAAGTTCACCCATACAGGTACCCTCATTTATAGAAAAATAAAATTGAAAATTTATTTTCTAAGATGTTACATAACGGGTTGATTCAACCGAGCTTGTCATCTTTCAGTTCCCCTGTATTATTAGTAAAGAAGAAGAATGAGACATGGAATTTCTGCGTCAATTACCGCACTATAAATGCGGTCATGGTGCGAGATAAAATCCCAATTCTAACAATAGATGAATTGATGGATGAGTTACACGGTGCTACCATTTTTTTCAAGTTGGACCTCCGATCTGTTTCTTCACCCATACTGACGTTAAAAACTCACTGTTTCTTCACCAAGTTATCCAAATGCCTATTTTCCCAACCATCGATTTAGTTCTTGGGCCACACTATTTCTGGCGAAATCCCAACAAGACACATGCTATTTTGGAAAGGCCCATCCCAACATCAGCAACCCATGTCCGTGACTTCTTGGGCCTCTCAAGCTATTATTGCCCCTTCATATGCCATTATGCTTCTATTGCATCCCCTCAAACAGATCTACTGACAAAAGATGGGTTTGTGTGGTCTTTCACAGCAGAAGATGCCTTCCTCAATCTCAAGTCATCCTTGACAGAGGCCCCTATCTTAGCATCATCGAACTTCAAAGAACTCTTTGTTATACAAATTGACACTTCTGGCATTGGGGAGAGGGCGGTCTTAATGTAAAACAACCATCCCATTGTATTTTATAGTAGGAAATTTCACCTACTATGCGCACAAAATCCACATACATATGCGAAATATTCGCGATTATAGTTGCAGTGGCCAAATGGAGACAGTACCTCTTGGGGGTACCTTCACCATTAACACGGATAACAAGATTTTGCACAACCTCATGAATCAAGTTGTCCAAACCTATGAGAAACAAACCTTCTAATCGAAGCTACTGGCTTCGATTACACCATTACATACAAATCCGATAAAGCCAATGCGGTGGCTGATACCTTATCCATGAATCCAAAAGGGGTTTCCGAGTTTATGAAACCTCCATTTTTGCAGTTCTTAGCGGTCTGATTAGTGATTACAATTCCATACTACTACAAGAATTACAACAAGACATATCATATGCTACCATTTTACAAGATTTAGCCAATGAACCAGCACAGTGGCCTAAGTGGAAATGTATAGAAGGGTTGTTGTTCTTTCGCAACTGAATTGTCCTTCTCGTTGCTTCTTCAATCATCCCGCACTTGTTACACGATCTCCACACTTCAGTGCAAGGGGGTCATTATGGCTTTCAAGGTACTCTGCACTGAATTTCCCTTAACTTCACTAGAAGGGAATTAGAAAAATCGTTCATGAATACGTGGCCAAATGTGAAATTTGTCAAAAGATCAAACGCCCAAACCATTCCTCTTTCAGATTATTAACCCTAATTAAACCACCAGATGAGACATGGACAGATCTGAGTATGGATTTCATTACTCACCTGCCACCTTCACATGGCTTCACAGAAATTCTTGTTATTGTGGACCGCTTTTCCAAAGAACCTCATTTTGTGTCGTTACCTCCTCGTTATACAGCAACAAGGATAATCGAAGT